CCGCCTGCTAGATATCGAATACGAGAAGTGTGAACAGGATGCCGATGGATGGTGGTTTGTTGCTTATGAAGTGATTGTTGCGACACCCTTGCAATTAATCCAGGATGGTCAAGATTTGGTCAGCCATACTTGCGAACTCATATCAACATTGGAAAAGTTCATTTGTTCGACGGCAATCGGGCAATATCGTTCTCGACTGCAGCTTGTAGAAAGATTCAATTCCCTTCTCCAACTCTACGCTATCGACTTTCCATCTCTCCGTCGGGTTATCTCCGCGCTCGCGAATCTGATCAATCATTACAAACCGTTTGTGCAAATCTTTGAGGAGCAGTTGTCAAACGGTCGGAAGTCACTTGAAACCGATATAAAGCAGGAAATACTGCTTACAAGTTGGAAAGATACGAATATTACCGCTCTCAGGGAAAGTGCTCGACGCTCACACTACAAGTTATTCAAGGTTGTACGAAAGTATCGTGCAATCTTAGGCCAACTCTCAGATAGCACCATCGAAAATGGGCTTCCTACATCTGCCTACAAGTCGGAGCCAGCTGTGGTAAGTTTATTGCATAAACCGGAGGCTGTATCTTCCACTGCTCTCAGCATATGTCAAGAAGTTATTTCTACCTGGGGTTCGAGGCCAGCTCGGTTCAAGGATATAGACGCTACCACGGGGAACATGCGCCATGTTTACCAAAGGTGCTTTGCCGATTTCAGTGTTCCCTGCGAATTGGATGCGTTTATCCGTGATGTAATCGACAGTATCAATGATTTCAAATCCAAGACTCCCAAAACCCTTACAGAAGAAAACAAGGAGGAGGTACAGCACCTCAAAGTTCAGAAACGTCGATTCTATGCCGAAAAATTACGAGAGCTTCGTCATATGGGTATCCGATCCAACCTTGGTACCGATATATTAGAAAACCAAAGTTCCCGCTCGTCCATTTTAGCCAGCACACCAGCCCTTGCCTGTTCTAGAGAATTCCATCAGATCGAAAGTGCTAATTCTTATTTTCATCGATTTGTGGATTTGTTGTCAAAAGCACGACAGGCCGCTCGAGAGTACTCAGAAGACTTGAGCAATGTCGAAGCCGGAAGGAGTGCTGGTTTTGTCGAGGGAATTCTCTCTCGAGCCCGGACTGAAAGAACAACCATTTATCCAGCATTAACTGCTCTCGACTCTCTTACTACAGTCATCCAGGAAATGGACAGCTTATCTTGTCTGAGCAAAGGGTCTTTGCGCGTTAATGCTGCAATGGCTGTTCATGTCAAAGATCTTCAAGGGACACTTCGTTGGTTGTCTGCTCTGCTCGAAACTTCCGTAGCTATTCTGAACATCCATGCAAGGCACACAAATACCGACCTTTCTCGAGTACTCAACGAGTTGAGTTCGAGGAAAGATCAGGCTGAAGGTTCTTACCTTGCGCTGGAAAGTCTTGCCACGCTTCCTAAAGGGTTGTCCTCGGACGTTCATGAAGATCAAATCTTGCAAGCTCAAACGCTTATTACACAGATTCAAACCGACGTGATCCGCTTGGGCCAGACCCACCCAGACGTAGCTTTTGCTATGGATCAAATCCTTCCTTGGACTAAAATCGATTTGTCAGAATATCCTAACCCTAAGGATGGTCGATATTCAGCGCTTCTTCTCAAGGACATTGATAAATCGCTGTTGTCAGTTGTTGATAAGGTCTTCGTCGTACTTCAACGTCTCAGCAGCTGTTTGTCATCTTATCCTGCGTCCACTGAGAATACCGGCTGGCTGGCAAAGACCGATAGTGTTCTCTCGAAAGCACTCGAGGAACTGCACATGGAGGAAATCGCAAATAGTATGTCTTCCGTCTTGAACACAATTCGGCTCATTTCTATGCAAAGCCCCAATGAGTTGGATACCGTGATAGCTATTATATCTTCCCTACTGCCCATAATGCATCAATATCGATATATTTGTGTTGATTTGGTGCACCGTTACGCCAATCTACACCGTGAAGTTTGCAAAATGGGCTATGTGCTCTCCAACTCGTTTATCCGCGTGGCTTCTGAAGGATTTTGCAGCCCAGCGGAGGCCTCTGACGAACAAGGCTCGAGCGGGAAGTTGGAAAACGGAACCGGTCTCGGGGACGGAGGGGGCGCTGAGGACATTAGCAAGGACGTTCAAGACGACGAAGACCTTTCTGATCTAGCACAGCAGAAATCTGAAAACCACGGTGAGAAAGACGATATTGAAGCGGCGGATGATGCAGTCAACATGGACAATGAAGACCTCGAAGCAGACGCGGAAGACTTTGAACAAAAGGAAAAGGGTCAACAAGATGAGGATGAGTCAGATTTAGAGAGTGCTGATAATATGGATGAAGAAGTCGGGAGCGTCGATGGGTGGGACCAAGATGCAGTGGATGAGAAACTTTGGGACGGGAAAAATAATCCTGATCAAAAGGACACTGAAAATGAAGAAGGCAAGGGGTCATCCAACACAGACGAGCAAGCCGCAGCACCCGAGAAGGAGGATAGCAAAGCAAATGAAGCGGAAGACCCAGAGGCTGGGAGTGACAACGAAAATCCTGAGCCACCTGATGATGAAGCAGAGGCAGTTGGTCGTGAGGACATGGATGTAACTGAGCCAAACTTGAAAGAAGAGCAGGTTCTGGATTTGCCGGACGATATGGAACTCGACGAGCAGGAGAAAGGAGCTTCGGACATTGACGATACTCTAGATGAGGACTTTCCAGATGACGACATGGAAATGGGAGAGAACGAACCGGGTGCGGATGAAAAGATGCCAGATCCGCCCAGCCAGGATCAAATAGATGAAACTGCAGATAATTCTATGGACGAGCACCAAACGCTTCGTGAAGAGCAGGGAGAAGATCTTTCCGAGGCACCGGTAGAGGACGATGAACGAGATCTGAAGCCAGCGGAAAGAACCGACGAAAGGTCGGAGCCAGCAAATGTCGTGCCAAGCGAGGCACGCGCAGAAGGCCTGGAGAGTGAACAAAATGGTGAAAAGGGACAATCAGGCGAGGCCGTCACAGACCAAGATTCTAAAGAACAAACCGAGACTAGCCAGAAGCAAGAAAGCAGTGCACAGGGTGGTGAAGAAGGAGAAGTGTCAGGCAATCAAGCTGGTGGTAACGCAGAAGACGCTGTCGAAGATCCTCAGGCCCAAGCATTCAAAAAACTAGGCGATATATTGGAGCAATGGCATCGCTCTCAGCGCAAGATCAAAGAAGCATCTCAGCACGAAAACCTTGAAATCCAACATCGCGATGTTAACATGGAAGAAGTGGATTTCGAACATCTGGCCAATGACGAGGATGCTGCGGATACCCAGGCCCTTGGTCAAGCAAGCGAAGAGCAAGTGAGAAACGTGGATCAAAATCAGGCCATTGAGTCAAATGAACAGCCTGACAATGACGATCTTCTTCCGGACGCGGCTGACATTGAGGAAGACGGCCGGGCACAGGCGTTGGAAGATGTGATGCAGCTTGACTACACTTCTACTCAAGCAGATCAAAAGGAAACGATGCCTCTTTCTGCTATTAACAATAAGGAAGAACATACTTTAAGTGATCCAAACGGACAAGTCGAAGCACAGGAAAATATAGATGATGTGGATCGCCAGCTCTCAGAGATACATTTGTCCTCTGACCTACCTCCGTTGACCCCTCCCGACGAAGCACGAAGGCTTTGGTCCCATTACGAAGCAATCACCCATGACCTCTCGCTATCCTTGACCGAGCAACTGCGACTGATTTTAGCACCTACAATGGCAACAAAATTGAGAGGAGACTACAGAACAGGGAAGCGGCTGAACATCAAACGCATTATTCCGTATATTGCTTCCCAGTACAAACGGGATAAGATCTGGATGCGTCGATCTGTGCCCTCTAAAAGGAACTATCAGATCATGTTAGCTGTCGACGACAGTAAATCCATGTTAGAAAGTGCCAGTGGTCAACTTGCCTTCGAAACCCTTGCGCTTGTATCAAGGAGCCTAAGCATGCTAGAAGCCGGCGATCTATGCATCGTAAGCTTTGGCAATGAGGACCATATTCGTGTTGCGCATGAGTTCGGCAAAGCATTCTCGTCCGAGGCGGGCTGTCAGGTCTTCCAGCAATTTAGCTTTAAGCAAACCGGAACAAACGTTAAGAGGCTCGTGCAGGAATCTATTGCCCTCTTCCGCGAAGCCAGAGCGAAACGATCTTCCAGTAGTGGTGATCTCTGGCAGCTACAGCTAATTATCTCCGATGGTATCTGCGAAGACCACGATGATATCCGCCGACTACTTAGACAAGCACAAGAGGAGCGAATTATGATTGTCTTTATCATTGTCGATGCAGTTAAAGAAGAAAGCGGCTCAATCATGAATCTCACGCAAGCCACCTTTGAAGCAGATGAGTCGGGCATAGCGGGCGGTAAATGGAAAATGAAGCGATATCTCGAAGGATTCCCCTTTCCATATTATCTGACTGTGAGAAATGTGCAGGAATTGCCTTCTGTTTTATCACTGGCGTTGAAACAGTGGTTTGCTGAGGTGGTCGAGTTATCAACATAGACTGGCATGGAGTAATTTGCCGGGTTTTATGTACATAATTGAATGTCTGGTTTCTGTGTCTTCATGTAAAATTGGGGATGGCGTTTTCTAGAGAGGTCTCAAAAAATGGATTCTTCCTTTGTTGTGATAACAATGGCTTCGTTAACTTGTGCACTATACAACCTGCTCTGAATCAAAATTTGGTACTCAGGAGCTCGACAGGAGATGGACAATCGGATAAGATCTGTCAGTAAGATAAGATAAGTGGGCTTTGCATCTGATAACATCTGAACTGATAACTTTGCATGAGTAAACCAGTCTGTCGCATTCGCCAGGATGCTTTTAAGGAGTACGACATGAGCCCTAGATATATCTAAATAAAGTCACACTGCATTAGAGAAATGTCGAGGAGTGTGATGGCAATTCCATGTGTATCTACTAAATCGTATGGGAGCTAAAAATGCGTATTACCGTTCCCTGCAGCTGCAATGCATGGTCATGCTAGGAGAGGAATAAGAACAACGTACATATGCCAGCCATTATTAATGACACCATTACCGATAAAACCTCACGCCTCCGACCCTAACCCTGAACAGAATCTAATAAAATAAATAATGTACAAGTCACCACCCGTATCTGGAACCTGCTTCTTTCCGATTCCTCTTGCCAGCGGCAAAACTATCTTCAAGCGCATCCCGTTGGTTGCTCACAGCATTCACTAGCTGTTGCAAGCTGTGTTTACCTGGCGCAATTGAGCGAACAGGATTATGTTGTTGAGCGGCTAGTTCTTGTTCAGACATCGAGGCCAGGTAGGCAGAGTTGGAATTATACTCTTCGGCGGTGTTGAATGTAAGGATTTTGGCATCAGCTGCCGAAGCGCGGCCTTTACGGCCCATGAGCTGACGTATTTCAGATTGAGAAAGATTTAGGTCGCTCGCGATGTTTTCGAGCGAGTTGGAGTGGGTCGGCATGGAGGTTCTATCATCTTTGTGCATAGACACTTCTTTTATGGGGAGTGCTTGCGATTCTGGAGAAGTAGATCCGGAAGAAGGCGCATAAATCAGAGGCTCGTAATGTGAGGGTTGCGCGATCAATTCAGCTGTAGGGCCAGCAGGGTCATTACTGGATATTCCAAATAGATTCACCTTTGGCTTCGATACTACCGGCTCTGTCTTAACTGCTGTTTGCAGTTCAGATCCCTTGTTCACCGGCACTTTCCCCTTAACATCGCCTATGGACTTTTGCGGAGGTGCTTTTGGTTTCTTCTTGGTATTTCGGGCAACAGATAGCGGTTTAAACATCATCGGGTTACCTTTCTTCACCACAACTGGCTCGTCCTTTGTCGCTGGTAGAGCTCCGGATGAATCGTTTTCGACAGTATCCCCGTTCTGGTTGTCCTCTAAGAATCCCGACTCGGGTTCTCTAACAAAGCCTGGAGTAGCGCTTGTTTTGAGACTGAATACTGGCCGAGAAGCAGCAGTACTAGACACCTTTTTGCCATCTTTATCTTGGGCGGCCCCTTTAGGTGCTGGAAGCATAGCGTTGAATCCAGCAAAGGAATTGCCACCACCTATCCTCGCCCGTTTTCGAGCTGGGCCCTCTTCTGAGGCTGCATCTCCGGCTTCATCACCCGTTTCCGTATTCGAAAGATTCACCAGGATTTTGCGCGGGTTGCTGCGATCAACGAGCGGCTGGAAGATGTTTATTTTTGAGGACGTAGGCGTGGGATGTTTCCGTGAAGCAGGGGCTATTTTCGGAGCGGAATCCGAGTCTGAGCCTTCCGAATCCGAATATGTGACTAGCGCCATACCGCGTATATGAAGGAGAACGTTGAGTTCGAGGATTTTCGAATGTATACCAAATTCCCGATGACGATGTTCTGGGAGGCGAGAGCATAAAGTTCAACCAGGAGATCTGCTGACTCAGCAGCCAGCTCAAACTTGCGCGAATTGTGGCGCAAAGATCTGCAACGAATATCAACGCGATGGACAGACTCCTCCATATCCAATGAGCCTCTTTGCCATGAAATACAGTTTTCAGACGGTGAAATGCCTGGTAACCAGGGATCCCAACATGAAGAAGGCAGAAAAACCACATCCACGAAATCTGATGATGACTACAGCACGGGACGGCGCAAGTTTCGATTGAAATCAAAGCATTCAAGCAAACGCGAACAAGACCATGAGAAAAGCCGGAAACGTCGAAGTCACCACAGTAGCGATGGTCAACGGTGCCACAAACATCACAAGTCTTCCCGCCGTGCAGAAACATTTGACGAACGTCCGCTCTCTCCAAATGCCGCATTCCGGGAGTCTCTGTTCGATGCGCTAGCGGATGATGAAGGCGCGGCATACTGGGAAAGTGTATACGGTCAGCCTATTCACACGTACCCTCGCCCAGAGCAGGCCGACTGCCAGGGAGATCTTGAAAGGATGACCGATGAGGAATATGCGTCATATGTCCGAGCACGAATGTGGGAAAAAACACACCAGGCTGTGTTAGAAGAACGGGAACGGCGTCGCCGAGCTCGCGAAGCTGAAATGAAGGCAGAGAAAGCCAGGCGAGAACCGAGAACGGCAGAGCCAGATCGCGAAGCGTTTGAAAAGATGATCGATGAGAGCCTACGCCGCGGAAGAGATAGAAAGGAACGGAAGAGAAAGGCCAGTTTGTGGGCCGATGTGTGGAGTCGCTATTTAGAGAGCTGGAAAGAACTTGATACCTTGGCACGCGAAGCTGCATCTAAGACTGAGGCAGCGTCTCCTGATAGTTTTACTTTACGCCTTCGCAATCTTATTGTCTGGCCCGTTGAGACTGGAAAACGCAAAGATGTTACTCCACAAACCATAGAAGAATTCATTCGCAATGCGCCATTTCAGCAAGGGGCCGGAGCCAGCGCCTCCACATCTAGTCAAGAGACGGGTTCCGCAAGCCCACATTATCCTGACCTTATTACGGCACTGAAAATGGAGCGTGTCCGTTGGCATCCTGATAAGATTAAACATAGATATGGTATTCTAGGGATGGAAGAGCAAGTTGACAAGAGTGCAACTGAAGTCTTCCAGATATTGGACAGGATGTGGGTTGAAGAGCGTGCGAAATACAACCTGACTTAGCAATTGTTTATATGTAACTATATTGATACCCCCTATACGTAATATATTATTCTGGTCTTCATGGCTGAAAGAAGTGTTTGAATTTCAAAAGGGTGATTCCTCATCTTCGACGACTAAATTCACGCAGCGAGGATGATATATTCTTTATTTCCCTAAGATCTCAAGCACGGTGAGGAAGCGTGTTATGACTGGCTGTAAACCGTAAGAGCCTCAATCGGACCCCGGGAAATGTGGGCCAAGAACGCTAACTGAGTTCCGATGAGAGGGCGCTTCGGCAAGCCGAGCATCGAGCTTACCGGAAGAATTGTTTCTGATATCCTTAACCTCCATCACTGTAACATCTTTCATCATAATCTCAGTCGACATTAGCTTTTTCTAGGGCTAATTTTCGTGATGTCTATCTGCTTATTGGACTTTGGGATTAAGGCGTGCGATCATACCGGATTGGCACCACTAAACGAATGGAGACCACTTTATTCGTAGTCGCCAACTTTGATCAAGGGACCATATCACCTTTACCGGCGGGGTTGAATTCCAAGAGCTTTGACATTTCCTTTTATTCGTCACTCATCCAAAACCCCGACATTCTGGAACATCGCTCATAGAAACTGAGACACAGATGTAGAAATACAAAGGGTGTGTGTCTGCCAAGGAATGGTGTATAATAGTAACGCTCAAAATAGACTATGAGACAAGTAGTAGAGATGATCGCTGGGTAGAATTAATTGCCCGGGATCAAAACCTCGAGCCGCGTTGGCTCGTTCTGTAAGCCGTCCAGCCAGCGTAACCACCCGCGATAAGAATCAAGAACATGAAGAACTTGAATAGGGTCCAGAGCCAGCTTCCTCCTTCTTTTACCTCGGCAGTTCCAGATGTGCCTTGGTTTGTAGCCTTCTTTCCGCTATTAGCTGGCTGGGAGCTTTGACCCCCGGATTGCGCATATATAGAATAGGTGTTCACTTCTATAATGTCGTGGTTATCGCTGAGTTCGCCAGTCTCGGCTGAGAATCCGAGATAAGAGATCGATGGTATCTTGATAGACACATCATTGCTTGGAGTAATTTTAAAGCAAGGAGTCCAACTGTAATCTGACTTGTATTGGAGATCGAGGGCAAGCGACTTATCCTGGAAGTAAGTCAACCGGGCCTTTGTAGGTATCGAAGAGCCACGAAGCCCTCGCGCCTAGTTTAACGAAAGCATTTAGTAGAGCTATTGCAGAACAAAGAATAGAACAAGCTTACCGAGCAGGAGCCGATGTCATTAGCTCTGCCATCATAGGCGGCATCATATGCCGTTTTGCCATCTCCCATCATGGCCATGACCAATGGAAAGGACACGCCGGTCCGTCCATTTTTGTAGGTGTCAAAGAAGATCCCCAATCCCTCGAATCGATCGGCGGAACCAAAAACGGGGCCAGAAGTCGCACGCTGCTTCGTGAGCCATAGGGCGAAGCCATCACCATGGAGGCTACCTTCACCGTGGATTTTGAATTCCAATTCAATCTGAACATTACAAAATTCGGTCAGTTTCGAAATTGCGCAGTCGAGGAACGAACGCAAGACGAAGGAAGGAGCAGTTCTAACATACTTGCCAGTTCGTGGCAGTCAAAGGAACACGGGACCAAAGCCAACCTCGTTGAGAAGGACGATCAGAGGTGAGACGGATATATCTAGTCGAGTCAGTGAACACGGAGCGATGGATTGAAATCCTCGATCTTGATATAAAAGTAGTAATCCGTATTCTGAAGTAGGGTGTCTCACTGATCAGTGCGAATAATTGTATCTCCCCCGAAGTCAAACCACCGGTGATGCAGATCGGAATCTAAGTAGGGCTACACCGCAGGAAAATGTTAGAGGAAATAGGTTCAAGGGCGATCCGCTTCGGGAAGTGCTGCACACCTGTTGTATACTAAAGGCTTTCATCTAACGGCAAGATAGAGTTGGCAATCAGTCTAACCAGAGCTAAAAGGGGTGGCGATCACATACTGGCACCCTCCTTGTATTTGGATCATTCTCAAAATTATTTTCATCGCTGGCAAGGACCACGCCCAGCCCGAGGACCCATAATAGCAGAGTCGATAACAGTTGCGGAAGCATGATGCGGCGTTGAAGCATGAAAAGGAAATGGAGAATAGTAAGAACAGAAAAGAAAATCAAAGGAATGCGGTCAAGGGTAATGTCGTGTTACCGAATCATCAGCGTATCAACCGCTGCCCTCTGTAGTTTAGTTATCGCTGTCGGCCAATAATGTATGTCAAAGGAACGGATGCGAAGATATGAAGGAGCATAGAGCTAGAGACTACGAATTGGAGTCTCAGGAGCTCCCTTAACTATGTGTTTCTTCCTATAGAACAAAAAACAACAATCGTCAGAAAAGGAAAAGCAGAGAGGAAGACATCACCGGGTTGTCCCCTCGCTGAAGATTGCCGTATCTGGACGATTGCTCAAGGTGTCCATTTCGAAAGGCGGGAGGTTCGGCTTAGTCATCTAGAAGCTATCAACGTAGGCAATCTATATGGGTCATGTGAATGAGGCGCTAGTTTGGATTACCTAACAATAGCGCCTTCGGAATATTATAGACCCGCACCCGATCGTATCAATATTTATCCGAATGCCGTCAGCAGCTTTGCTCGCTAGCCAATCAGATCGAAACCTCCAGCCGTCATCGCGAGCTCGGTCTGGGAAATCTTCAAGCCTGCACGGTCTCGCAGCAACATCCGCAGCATCGTATCGTCCAAAACAACTCCACTCGCCCACCGAAGACTATCTGACCTTATTTTATATCACATCCAAAGACTTATTTACCGCACAATAGTTCAGCCCCCCAACACCGCCTCCGTTCACAATGGCTATCTCCAACCCTTTCGCCTCGGACTCTTCCCCCCAGTCCACCACCTCCGCCGAGATGAAAGCCGCCATAATTCAACAGCTCCAATCTGAGTCGGCGATAACAAACGCACGCACACTTATGGAGGCAAGCTATTCCCCCTTTTCGGTTTCTTAATTCTGTTCCAAACCATACCATTCCGGCCCGCCTTGATTCTTGCATTGTCCAAAGCCAGCGCAACTGACAAGTCCCCAATAGAAAATTAACTCGAACTGCTTCGAGAAATGTATCTCCTCGCCACCAGGCTCGACATTCTCCTCCAAGGACCAAACCTGCCTCACAGCCTGCATGGAAAAGTACATTTCGCTGTGGAACGCCACCAGCAGAGCATACGTTTCGCGCCTGAGCCGAGAGCAGGAGAAGAGCGGACTTGGCGGCGGGAATATAACGCTTAATGATATCGGTGGGGGAGAGGGTAGTTTTTGAGGGGCTTGAGTGAGAATTATGCAATTGCAACAGCGAGGGTCTTTGCTATGAGGGAATTTATCGGGTTGTGATGGCATAGGAGGATGCAATACTATGAGATTGACTGAACCTTATTCGGTCTCCTCGTCCTATACCCTAATGTTCAGGGTGGGTTATTAAAACTCGTCATCTTCATCTCGCGAACAAACGCCGTTTATACTGGAGTTATTTGCGCGGATGAAGATAATAATTTGTATACTAGCATGCTCAGGTACAGAATATATGGTATTTGGGATAGCCATTCGTATAAAATGCTTTGGTAAAAACATACATAGACACACTTCCGATTAACCTGAGCAATTCTTTTCGTATCATTTAGTGAATGCAAGGGCTTCTTTTTTTTCACTTTTAACCTCCCTTGGCTTTGTTAGATTCTTCTTGTTAGAGTAAAATATTTAAGACCAGCCAAAACAGGAAGAGAGGCCAATAAAAACCCAAACTTATCCTGTAGCATTGGATATATATATCAATATATGATATCCAATAGTGCAAGGAACCGAACAAAGTGTAGAAAAGTAGTGTAAAATACCCAACATTTCCCAATGCAACAGTATCATAAAGGAGATAAAGAGGTTCATCCAGATGAAAAAGGGGTAACGGTGGAGTTATTCATCCATGAGCGAGAAGGCCATTGAATGTCAGAAACGATGTTAATGCTTGAAACAGCTTTGAAAGATCCACCCAGTACAATAGGAAAAGCATAATTCTCAGGAAGACTTAAAAAGAGAGCAAGGCTCATAATATACCTCCACTGATGTAGCTGTGGCAGCAATACCTTCTTGCTCTCAAGATGATGAAGGTGCTGAAAACCAAGAGTCCGATGAGGAAAGACCATAAACATAGAGTAAGGTAATAGACGACGTCTGCAGGTAATAGATAGACTTTATGTTTGAGCCCAAGGTAGCCAGACCGACAGTGCGTCAATTATTCGCCTTACGGGCGGATCATTCAAGAAGGATCCAAACACAGGCTCCTAAGTCACAGTCCAGCTGAAACATAACCGAGAGCCAACAACAAACAAACACATAGATTGACCCAATACAATTGGCAAATGCGAAAGAAGCTAATATAGTAGATTTGATATGATATAGGTCGCGTGACCGGGGTCGATGAAGTCGTTTCGTTTTCGTATATAATGGTTAAAATTCTTGGAAGAAATGGCCAAACCTATAAAACAGTTAGTCAACAAAATGATATCACAAGGGTAGAGGATTATTCATACTCATCATCAGCTGGTAGGCCGTATTGCTCCGTTTCTTCGGGGTAGGTGTCGAACTGGCTAGCGTCTCCTTGCCCAGCTTTAACTGGAGGTATATACGGAGCATCGATATCTTTCCTGGCAAGTCTGTCCCAAGTAACTTCCGAGAACCATGCGTGGTTTTTGACATCTTCCGATCCGCCCCGAAGGTTACCTAGCCGCTTCGTGAGATCGGGGGTGATGAGTTGCGACAAGAGATCCCGAGCATCAGGGACTAAGAATGGAGGGTACTTAACCCGGCCATGGACGATATTCTCATATATTTTCATGGGAGATCCACTATCCCAAAACGGTGTAAAGCCGCAAAGCATTTCGAAGATAAGGATTCCAAGGGACCACCTGTGGTTGATAAGCAAACAATCGTATTGCTCTATTCAGTTGAACTTACCAGTCAACTGATTTATTGTATCCCTTCGAGGAAACCACTTCTGGAGCAAGATAGTCGGGCGTTCCACAAAGGGTCCATGTTATATCCCGAACTTCTTTGGCGAAGCCGAAATCAGTGATTTTGAGATGACCATGTCTATCAAGGAGAAGATTCTCGGGTTTGAGATCTCTATAAACGATGTTTTGTGAATGTAGGTATTCTAATGCAAGTGTGACTTCGGCTGCATAAAACTTTGCGACTGGGTTCGGGAATCGCTACACGACTATTAGCTTGCGACTTGATTTGGGAAACTAGGATAGAGGGATGTCAACATAGCTGCGGAAATACCCACCTGCGACTTGCGGAGCAAACTGAATAGCTCTCCACCCTCCACAAAGTCCATCACCATGTACAGATTCTTGGCATCCTGGAAGGTTCCCCAGAGAGTGATTAGGAAAGGATGCTTCACCCTTTCCAACATTCTCCGCTCATCATTGGTATGCTCCACCTGCTTCATCTTCACTACTTGTTGTTTTTTCAATACCTTTATCGCATAGAAACGTTGGTTATGTACCGATTGCACCAGGTGTACTCTTCCAAAACTGCCTGTTCCCAAGGTGCGGCGGAGTGTGAAGTCGTTAAGGGAATATTTTCCCTTCAATTGTCTCTGGGTCGTCCGAACTGGCTGCTGGGAAGGGAAGCGACCGTCATTGGCTCCTTGGGAGAGTACTTCTTCCTGTTGAGGTGGATTTATGATGTTTTTGATACTTGCGACATTTTGATGGTGCTGCGGGGATACTGGTTGCGGAGATCCCCCGGGCACAGGAGAATGATTTTGGATTTGTTGCGAGTTCATGACGGTGCTATCACCCGTAGCACCCGCACGGACGTCTGGGGTTGCGGAAGAGATGTTCAGTTGTGTAGCGTCGGACGTTCCGGCGTCAATTGGTCGCTCAGGAGGGGCAGCGGAAGCGGACGTATTGACAGTCGAATGCTGGCCGAGCTGTGGCGAACTACGCTGTGAACTTGCCGATGGAACCGATGAAGGTGATTCAGCACTAGACGAGGCTGTCGATTGTAGGTCTTTTGACGCTTTTGGGTCCTTCGTCCGCCGCTTCTTGAGGAGGCCTCCGAAAATCGGCATGGGACACCTCGAGTGGGTGGTTGCGCCGTAGGAACGAAGAGGAACGAAGTTAAACGGGTCGGCTGGGTAAAACTTTGGGGCGCCTATATATGGTTCTCTGGGGAACTCTGGGCTGTCACGGCGCGTCAAGGGAGATCGATTGTGCCCAAGGCTGTAGACTAACAGGAGACCCGGAACAGAGTGGCAAATCTCTTTCTTTGACAGATTGCATTCAATTGTGCGCTGAAGCACCGTGGATCAATAATAGGTGAAGTGCATCGTGGAGAAGACGTCACTGAAAAACCATGTCTTGAAGTTGGATGAGTGGAGGAACGGAAGGTGGAGTGATGCCAGCTTGAGGGAGCGGGCGAGTGGTGAACCAGGGATTCGGGAGTTGAAAATCGAGGTTGGTTCCAAGCAATTCGTTTGTGCTGCCAATCCACCAGAAAAAGAACACGAACAACAAAGAAGCATCATAATATCATGCACAGCAAGAATGCTTCCCATCACTCCCGCGATAATCGTTAGGTCATCGTCAACAGCTGTGGAAATACTGTGGTTGATCCCCCTTAGTGGGGGGTTTATAGTCCGCTATAGAGCTGATTAACAGAAGAACCCGGGAATAGCGGGAAGGAAGCGAAATTACACGATGCCGGACAGCCCAAGGGGGCTAAAACAGGGACGACCTCCGGTTTCCATCTCAAGCCAATTGCTTTAATCTGGTGCTGAATACGGAATAGTTGGGACGAAAGAATGTGTTAACTATCCATCCACTCCCTGGTATGTGGCCAGCCAACAGGATGATAGAAGCCACGCTCTCATAATAAAGTCGCTGGAACTATCCAGACCATTTTCCATATGTCTCAGCAGCATTGCTGCCATTGCAGCACATTTTTCACCATTTTGAAGCATATAATACTTATTGAGACAGTTGCAAGACACACCGTAAATCTAGCATAAACAAAACCGCAACCATCGATCATAAAAGTCCATGAAAGCCCATCGCATTGTACATACATATAAAGCCCTGTCCCTATACCAAGCCTTGACATCCACCTGCGCCGGAAAAGTTACAGACCGGAAAAATAGAGGTATATGCATAGAAAGACACAATCCTCCCCAGAAACCTCACATCCGACATTGCATCATATTCTTCTTAATCTCCTCAACAATCTCTGCTGCTTCCGCAGGATTCTTCGCCTCAAAATCATAGCGCTTCTGTTCGTTAGCTTCATTACCTCGCAAAACCACAATCCGGAAACTCTTTGGATGTCTTCTGCTGACTTTCGACCCAACGACGTCGTTGAATGAGATGGACGTGGTTTTTGCATTCGACTCAAAAAGCGTTCGACCTGTTTCGCCAGGAATGATATGAATATAGTCATGATCAAACGCGATTACCCGTTGGCTCGAAGCCGTTAGCGACATTGATTGCTTACGAATCACGTTAAAACGCCTATAGTACCCTCCAATGATGTCTTGTTGCTGAGCCAGTGGATGCAACATGCGGGTGCCCTTTTTCCCCTTCTTCGTCGCAGCATTGTGGTTGTCGATTAGCAACGGTGCATTTGGCGAGGAGCTGCCTGGTGAACCTGTTAATGAAAGAGGGCCAATTCCAAATCGGCGACGGACAAGTTCCAGCTCGGAGATGTTTCCCAGAGCTTCAACAGTTCGGTCCAGGGGTGCGATGGTATTCGATCCCATCACTTTCAACAGAAAGTTACCCTTATCCAACCCCCATTTCTTGCAAACGGAGTCCAAGATCTCGGCGATATAACTGTCCGTTGATGTCTGAATGGTGGTGGTGCGGGTGGATGATTCAAGGTCAACATATCGAACTTTCAAGGTTTTGGAAGCTCCCATTCTAGGGGTCGCATGCGACACCGGTACAATCGGGCGATCAGCCGGTGTTAAGGAGCTATCGTTCAATGCGGATGAGAACGGCTGTCCAAGAATGGGATTGGCTCGGGTGTTAGCGACCCCTTTATTCAGCAAAGCCGGTGTGGGCGAAATTGATGCGTTTTGCTTTTCGTCCGTTTGCTGCTGAATAGCTGCGATACTATATTTCGGGAAACGCCGCTCGTTCTCTTTGAACTCCTCGTCCGTCGCCTCAACAAGCGCAAATTCATCGCATGGTTTGCTTCTAGCTCTCCCTCGGACTGCGGCGGCTCGATTGTTATTCGACGTAAAATCTGCGAGGGGCCTATCCCGACTAAGAGGCGGGAAATCGTAATCGACTTCACCGTCATCCACCATGCGGAGATGCCAGCGGTTTACACTGAACCTATCATCTCTAAGCGGCGGCTTCAGACCTTCTTCCATATATCTCCATAAGCTTAATCCAATAGCCTGTGCGACGGTGATCTGTCCTGGCTGATCCTCATTTTTGGATTCTCGAACTGCCAGGATATCAATAGGGCTCGATGGCGAGGAAGATGACGGTACAAAGATTTTAAGATATAGGGGCGTTGAAGTCTCGCTTTTACCGGAAAAGGCAGCAAATTTCTCTAAAGGATTGACAGGTGCTTCCTTGCGAGCTTGAAGCATGGAAGAAAGTAGACTGGTTGTACCGACGATACTAATCGGGCGAGGAGGCGGAATGCTCTGGAGGACAGGTGAAAGTACCCTGTGCCGATTTGGCGATGTATCCTGTGTTTCAACTGGTAATCGGGAGCCCAAACTGCCGCCAATGGCGACCCTCCCCAAGAGAGTAGTTGAGTCTGCCGTTACACCAAACTCAGAAGATAAGGCTGAGCCAACAGACTCCGCTATAGAATCGTCGTCGTTTTCTTGAGTGCGACGGGACATTTCAGCCTCGATCTCGACTTCTTCCTCTAGTTTTTCACTGGCTGTATCTTCCGGAACTTCGATAACTTCTTCCGTTCCTGAAAAGTGGATCTGACGTCTCTTAAGTACATCTGGGTCTAGATCGTTGTCAGAGGACATATCGCTGCTCGTAATAGTGTCACCACGAGCCCGGGCCTTGACAGCTTCCACTGCACCCAACGAATTTCGGCGAAACCGGGTTTCTACGGATCTGACTGATGGAGAAGTAACTAGTACCTTGGGGCCTTCACGGCGATTGGAACCTCGGATTGGAGAGGACCCTGCACGGTCTCGAACAGGCATCTTCGTAAATTTTATTTGGTTCACAGCCCTGTTCGCCATATCAGTAAAAGATATATTTGGTACGCAGACCAGCAGTTATCCATCTTACCTCGATCCACTCGGATCATCATCGCTGTCGTCGCTGAGATCACTACTATCATCTTCTTCCGCGTCGCCGGGTCTGTGATGTGGCCTTCCTGGCTGGCTTTGATGTTTCCGTCTCCGGCCCTTCTTCCCAGGACTAGACCGATGCGGTAAAGGGACAATCGTATTTGTATCATCCCTTGAGCCGGTGATCATCCCGCCTTCCTCGTCATCACTAAATCCCAAATCAGGCTGTCGGTCACCATCCTGTTTCCCATCTCCGTTCTCATCCTTCGACTGGAAGTATTCGGACGCAACGGCGGTCGCGATCGGAATAGGCGGGGAATACGTTCGTTTTATGCTTGCGGCGGCAGCGGCGGATCCCGTCCATCCTGCAGCGCGAAAACCCGGGGTGTTGAGAGCGGAGGAGTTGAGCGTTATGAGTCGGTCGCCGACGCCGTCTTTTATCGCGGAGAGATAGGATGTGCGCAACTGCCAAATAATGAAACTAGAGAGGATGCATGAGAGATCATCATCAACATTGTCTACCTCAACACTTACTCTTCATTCTGAAGTAGTGACATGTCTGAACATCAGAAATGTGTAAAGCTAAATCGGATGCAAAACAGGATTGCAAAAGAAGCTTGTTGTCCGCGAAATATAATGTGCAAAGCTTTCACGCGTGTGCTTCCTCCAGAGCACAGGGGAAATGGGATGAAGGTGGCGTAGCGAGTGAGGAGTAATGCTCGCTCATCACTCCATCTGAGCAGTAAATTGAAACAGGTTAGAAGGTAGAAAGGTCAACTGTCTCTTCAAGACATGCCAGGGCCAGCCTAGGAAGAAAGGAAATTGGCGACACTGTCTCGTGCTGATGTCTCCTGGGCTACACAACAAGGGAATTTTAATAGTGTTCTTCGGAGCGTTGAGGGAATCCGGGGGATGGTCTGCTGCGGGTCCGGAACACGGGTGGTCTGTGCTCGTTACGGCTGCATTAATGCTTGTGTATTCGCATTACAAAGTCGGTGTAATATTTACAAAAATGGAAGTGTAATGTTTGAAACTTTGTGTAAGGCGGAAACTAGGTAGTGAGCAAAATCACCCAAATTTATTTTACCTTCTTTGGCCGGCTCTTCTACTCCGTAGGTGCCTCTGGAAAGCCTCGAGACTTGATCTCCTACTATTTTATCCTTCTACTGAAGAGTACAGATGATACCAACATCATATCATACTGTGTGATTCCACAGGAGGGACAAGCATTTCAAGCATTGTAAATAAAACAGAGCGATAACTCCATCAAGAAAGCGGCCTGTAAATCAGTGAAAAAGGGAACAAAATGAGTGTATCGAGACACCAATGCAAGGCCACACAGCCTGCGTTGAAAAGAGGTTACATTTGCAACTTGACACTGAGGGCAGTATGAGCACAGGATAGATAACCTTAGAACCGTGATGACCAGTGCAACATAATGGCTGTAAACAACGACTTATTCCGGATGAATGCCAACTTCAGTAGATTCTGTAATATGGAGAATGTACCGGACAAAAATCACTCCACATATCATCTCTTATCCCTATCCCAAAACCAGTGATAAAGACTTCTCGACTCCGCCGCTTCGTCCTCCACATAATCGCCTACCAGGTCTGCTGTTTCATTCGAATACATATCTGTCCCTGATATAGCAGCTGTTCCCTTTCCACTCGCTACCTCCTGTTCCGCAGCATGTCTAGCTTCCTCTTTCGCTGCTTCTGCGAGGATCTCTATTTCCTTTTTGGCCTTGTCGAGGAGCGAATGGTATTGACTTGAGAGGAGGAGATATATATAGTACGTTCTAATCGTCCAGGCATGGATTGTAGCACCAGTGGCTGCTGCGATTCCATGGCTGACGAGTTCTTGAACGATACTAGCCGTAATTCCCGCGTATACCGTTGAACTTGTTTCGAGTCTAGCGAGAGCGGCGACATTACGAAGTAAACTTGCTGGCGAGAGGTCGTCTTCCCTTCCGATAGCCTTTGAATGTGCGGCTGGAAATTTTTGATAACCAGCTTGCCTGCGTACTTTATCCACTAAAATTGGGTAGGTCAAGGATATGGTAATGAACCGGCTCAGGGTAGCGGATAGTACATGGGTAATAATCTGATTATTTCTCCTTGTCAGGCAACGGAGGAGTATCTCATTCAGCGATAAAGTGATGAGGGGATTGGCCATCAACAGCAAAGACGCCGAATACCCAGCCCACAGCCCTCCGGCACCTTGCTCACGGAAAACCTTGATAACAATGTCGCGAATCCTGGTTGGTTTCACACAGGCTTGTCTCCTTGTGATAATGGTTTCGATGGGCGCAGTAAGCAATTTGGTACTCGTCTCCGATACAATCCCAAGGAGCAACCTCACCGCGAGTAGGCCCGATGAGTTTACCAATCCTCGACCCTTCAATCGCCATCGAAAGAATTTATAGGCAAGGAAAAAAAGGAATACTTCGGCACCTGCTTTACCAGTGGCTTCCTCGACACCAGCATAGAACGCCTTCAAACCACCCTCGCCATAAATCTCCTTCACTACTGTAGTAATTTCACCACAGCAATTCCCGCTTTGCCGCTGGCTACCATCTTTATGATGAGCCGAGCAACCCTCAGTCTTTGGTTCACCATTCCGCAGCTTCAGCCTCGTCGCTACCAAGAGAAGAGGGTACACCGCCGCAGTAGACACAGCCGCACACAACGCTCTCACGGTCACTTGACCCAATTCTGGTAGAGGTGGACCCTTCACCGTGGTACTCTGGGTGACCGGGGCGACGGTATATGAAGAGGGAAAATTTCGAATAAAATGGTGCCCCAGGACATCCTGCATGCCGCGCTTAGTGGGTGGTCATGAATGTGTATGTATCAACCAACTCAGACACGTTGCAAGCAATGGAATGGTGTCAAAATACCAGTAAAGAAGCTTCACTCTCTGCATAGCTGGTCATGTTGTCCAAAGTACATTTAACCACGCGATAGTGTTTCCAAAAATGTACATATTCATCGCATCTAGAAGTTCTGTGGCGGGGCTTCGTGTCTCAAGTCCCTACTCCGCCCATTGCGAGTGAAACTAGGTTTAATTAAGAAATTAGATGCTCAGTTGAAGACTCAAAGGTAGATATCGGACTTTTTCTGTAGTAAATTACCGAGAAAGTCGAAGGAGAGGTGAAAAGAAGTCCGAGTCCCTCCAGGTTCAGGTGTAAGAGAACTGACCTGGAGAGGAGTTGGCGATCAGGACGCATGATGACATCACGTGCTTAACCTGGGTCAAACCTTAGTTAACTATTAGCGCGAGATTAGCATTGAAGCCAACGCAAGACCATATTTAGGTCACCAATGACATCAAAAGCTGTGAATGCAGCAAAACCACGGTCACAGGCAATTTGGTATGCTTCAAGTGGTTTAGGGAAGTCATCTGCTTGTTAGCTTTACTTTCTAAATTATTCTCAGTAGATTTATCAGAGCTTCTGCTTCCTATTCGCATATATTAACCATGAGCCTCTGCGCCGGAGCTCGTCGGGTGTTTGAATTTTGGGAGGACCTCCTGGCCTCGATAATATCTGAGTTGGATTCGGACAATTCTTGGCCCCTGCACAGAGAATTGCTATCCGGTGCCTGGCGAAGCAACAATAAAGCTAGCCATTTTCATCCGACTCAATTGACATCTTTGTCAGCGCCTAAGTCGGCGGAATGTCTGTATTGGCAAGGTAGGGCCACGCTTGCACCTTTACTCACGCACGTAGGAATGCCCCAGGTGGTTATATGTATCAACCCCATTCCCCTGGGTTACGGTATGCCAGAAAAGCCTGATAGCTACGAAGATCTTTCTCAGAAAGGACAAAATCAGAGCAGCAAGTTATATTACAGTGCACTATGCCATAAGTACTTTGAGGGTATAACCTCAAAGAGGAACTCTCCGCCTTTACGCCGCTATCAGCCATAACCATGCGTGACAAGTATCCCATATCAAGCCGATTTTGTCATCAGGCGGGGGCCGGTCCAACAGGGAAGTTTTCAGGCTCCGCTCAACGTTGATGAATGTGGTTGACCACTGGGAGCAGTTACAAATGCACGTTGATTGCCCAACCATGCGCTCTCCCGCTCCTCGTTGGCTACAGACAACAACAAACTCTCCTTCTGCATCTGCCTCTGCCTAGGTGCAACCTCATAATCTTCTAGATCAACTGTTCCATCTAAAGGCAAAACGCCACCTTCTTGAACTCCTCTATAAAGTGCTTGACGTAATCACAATTTCCATATTTATCATGCTGTTCCTTTTCTTCTGAGGTGAATGATATGAACATGGTATCGCCTTACCAGGATCGCCCTGAGTATGCATGATGGTTGACCTTGCCGGGACCAAAGTCCTGGTTCAAAGCCGGAGCCAGCATCATGGTTGCTCCTAGAGCTATGAAACGCAGCCACTTGGCCATGGAGGTTCCTAAGTTATCGGACGTAGCCGGTTGATCGGTTATATCCCATGTTTGCAATTGCACTACCAGCCATCTTAACGACGTCGAGCCAGGGAACAGCCCAGACCCAGGCTTCTGTTTTTATTCTACTAAATTCTTAAGTCCACGCCATTATGGTATTTCTTCTTGTGCTTCTAAGTATCTGTTTGGAATTATGGGCTCGAGGCTCCGAAATCTTCCTTTTCTAGAGTGGGCGCGTAACCTAGAGAGCAGGATGGAGTTGGTCCCGGCAGGGTTTCGATGAACAATGTTGGAGCAAATCGAAACCCACATGAAGTCAAGCTGAGACAAGGGAAGCACCGCTGCTCATCTGTGAACTCTCACTGTGGTCACCGTGTAATACTAGTGAAGGTCTGAGTCTACTTCAATAGAAAAAAAAAGGAAAGGGGACCTCGCAGAATATCATGTGAATAGACATGATCTCAGTTGGCTTGTAAATACATATTGTATCATACCTGCTTAAGCTAAACAACATGGCCAACACCAAGACTCCGTGCACCGTGAATAGACAATCATGTCCATATGTCCCCCAAAATTAAAAGTCATCAACCTGTGAGCCAAAATGATAAGGGCACTGTAGTTCCCACCTCAAACCAGTGAACCGCTGGAAACAAAGTAGACAATATGTAAAAGAATTAAAGGGGGAAAAAAAAAGGGTAAATCATTATTCCCTCCAATGAAGGTATCCAACAGCATACAAGAACGCTTGAGGTGGATGCACCAAAAGCATTGCGCATGTGTTATTGAAGGAAAGTCGGGATAAAGCGGCGTGATAGTTCGCTTAACCGCCGAAACCGTACAAGGTACGGCCCTGTCGCTTCAAGGCATAGACAACATCGAGTGATGTGACGGTCTTACGCTTGGCGTGCTCGGTATATGTGACGGCATCACGGATAACTGACTCGAGGAAAGATTTGAGGACAGTACGAGTCTCCTCGTAGATCACTAGCAGGTAGGAAGATGACGCGTCAGCCCACCGTGTACACATCTGTGGTTTGAAACAGTAACAGTTAACTTACTTGCAGAGATACGCTTGACACCACCACGACGAGCGAGACGACGAATGGCAGGCTTGGTGATACCCTGAATGTTGTCGCGCAAGATCTTGCGGTGACGCTTGGCACCGCCCTTGCCGAGGCCCTTTCCGCCTTTACCACCTGTATCAGAGGAAGCACGTTAGCAAGCTGCTTATTCGAGCACGAAGACACGACAATATGTATGAATCATGTTTTATGGTCGATGAACGGAGTGAAGTTGAGTGCAAGAAAGGCCGAGGCTCGTCCATTGGCCAGCGTCAGCCGTGGAAGGTGGGTGGCGTTTCACCACCTGCCAAGACTATCCCACCCCTTGCAGGAACATTCAACACGGCCTTCGAGCCGGTATCATCGAGCCAGCAAAAACAAGCGAAAGCCGTTGAAAAATAAGTAATTAAATACTTACGTCCAGTCATGATGAATAAAATAAACAGTTAATGATGGATAGATGTCTTGTTTGATGGTGTGGGTTGATGAAAAAGGACGTGTATCGAACGCGTTATGGTGATGGAGAAAATCAGTGTTCTGAGAAGGAAAATAGAAAAATCGGTAGGAAGAAGGGAGGGGGGCAAGGCCAGGTTTAAATACTCCCTCAGCCAGTGACGGGTTGATCCCGCAGCAATTGTCGCCTGAAGAAATCGCGCTAAACCAAACCGGGGGGATGGGGGGCACCTTATCCAGAATCAACATCAAATTTCATTGAATCAGGCGTATGTGATTGGGCAAGTGGCGAGGTTGCAAATGGGCATTCCAAAGTGCTCAATTCCAAGCTTTGTTTTCTGCTGATTTTCTGGCTCTGATTTAGCGTGTTGGTTTTTGTTGTTCTGCCAGGATCTTGCAACTCTTGGCATGGTCCACCGCCTTTTATCACGTGATATTTTATGACAGAATAGGCATAGCGTATTCCAGCCCTATCTTCCAAGCTAGCGGGGGATTGACCACACCTTGCATCTCCACTGTTCTATGATTCCCGATAACAACTACTTATGTATGTCCAGTAACAATAAGCCCGAGCGACACTCCCTCGAACTTTCAGAGCATACAACACCGATCCAGGCCCTTATCCCGAGCAACAAGCATTCTAAGATACCACAAGGCTAGCATAGCAGTGAGGCATGGCTGGGCTGCTCTCCCACACGTCTCCCAAGGAATCATTGATGAACACTCCAGATTGCCGTTGTCATCTAGTCATCCGAACAGCCCCGGTTCATGGTCCATAAGGATAATTCCCTCCATGCTAGTTCATGTCCTAGACAAGTGGGTGTCTGTGATGTGAAGATCACTTGCGCAGCAAATTAATATTCCAAAGTTAGCTACCATCTTAATTTGCGCGCCTGTGGTGAAGCTCCCTTGCCAATCACTATCCCGCTTCCTCTGCCACAAAGGTTATATCTACCTTGAATAATCTTCTTACTTTCAGCTTACTATCTTCACTCTCCAGTGGCCAAGTTGTCATGAGCTATGAAATTTCCACACCCTCTGCATTTGCTCGGCATACTTTTTACTGCCTTAACTCGCTTATACTTGCATGCTTACATCAACATTCATTCAAATTCGCAATGGGTCGATGTATCTGAGATTTTCAAGGAGTGACTAGCGAAGAGGAAACCTTGTGTTACATTTCTGGTGATAATCAGGGGCAAGACCTGTGTCATGAGGGTGGTGGGTTATACTTCATTCTGGTGTATGCGTATATGTAGCTGACACTCCAATAGCATCATGCTCGAGGCCCCAAACTGCCGTACAAGTCATGCATACCTGAAAAGAATATCTTTATCTGTGAATCAATGGCCTATCAATGCCTGGCACAGGCTGGAATCTGTGCTTGTGGAATAACCTCTCACTTCTACAGGATAATAGAAAACATTGACCCTATACAGCACCTACCACATCCTAAGATAAAGTTTGTCAAAGATGAAAATTCTGAGCTAAACTGGATCAATTACTATGAGAAGAGGATGCAAAATTTTGTTGATGATCTGAATACAGTTTATAAAGTACTTGTTCAACACAGCAGTGTTCATTCAAGAAATATGACGATGGTGGAAGAGGATCTGAAAAGGGCAACTTGGATAGACTTTAACAGGGCGCAGACATTTAGCCAAGAGCTTACAGAGAGGTAAAAGGAATGGATTGCATTTGAGAAGGAGCTTATGGCAGAGACAGCTGACTGCATGGTCTGTAGACTCCCTCCCCTGAGTTATGGGTCTCTGAACTAACTTTTTTTGACTACCAGGAATATGACTCCACCGAAGGGCGAAATGGATAAGACACGACAGTACTATGGGTGATGCCTCGAGACGAGAACGCGGTCCTGGAACACGCTGAGGCAATTGCCCTATATAGTTTTAGTACGACGCTGTAGTGTTTGTTTGTGTCTTGATACCAAGTGATCTTGCTGTGATTCTAAACACACATGACCTCATTTGCATGGTGTCATGTGTTATCCTTTGTCCCATCGCTGGGACCTAGCTAGCTCAATCAACCTTATGAGTCTATTAGCAAGCTAGCTAGAAGCTTCAAATTTATAAGGACTGAATCTTTCTTACATATACACAACATACATTGTATAGCTGAGCTTCCTACAAGCTAGCCGCTAGGTGAATGCTCCCCTACCAGCATAGATCCTTCACTACATAGGAGGATGCTAAACGGATCCTTCTGGAAAGCCTGCTAGCTATAGGGCTAGCTATTAGTTTGACGGCTCGGGTCGACTCCATTTACAGACTTATATATGCTTGTCATTCCTCAGCTACTAGTATGTGAGAGATTTGCCTAATCTATATAGATCATGTGAGTGAGGGGGCTAGTTGGATTACCTACTCCATAGTCAACACTAATACATCTAATGGCAAGCACATGAGTCCGTCAGCCTGGCCTTTCACATTTGTCTACAAAGTTCCTCTTCCCAGCAAGTTGATTAGTTTTATCCAACATGAAAGTACAGAGTACATTAGAGGGATCCGACCGGAATAGACCTGAGAAATTATATTTTTTCTTTTTTAATTCATTATCTCGTATGCTTCCTCGCCACTCCGCAGCAAACTAGCGTATGGTTAACCCAAAAATCCGTCCACTACCATATCAAATATTCCTTCAGATAACGGGTAGACTCCTTTCAATCCTGGAAGTTTTCGGCTGCCCGTGTTCGGGGGACATCCAAAACAACAGAGACGACATCTCATAATCTCCCCATTTAGGGAGGGGGGAAAAGAAAAAAAGGAAAAAAAAGACAAAAAGAAGAAAAAAGAAAAAAGATAGTGTGACCGAGTGGAGAAACCAGGGAGATGACAAGAGGCAAATGCATACACTTTTGCCATATCACATAGAGCTGATTAAGAAGTAAAAAAGAGAAAAAAAAAAAGGAGCAAAACATCCCGGCAGCTATAACTCCAGCTTAATGCAAACCAAAACAAAAGCCATTGCAATATCATCAAAAGCCCACAAAGCATAAGAGCCATGTCAAAGAGTCAATGGAAGAGAGCTCACTCTACATTTTATATATTGCAAAAGGCATGATTGCAAAACGGAAAAGAAACCCAATGGAAACAGGGAAAGTAAATCAGCGAAATAGTTACTTCAGCAGCAATCAATCAAGAACATAAATGAGAAACTAAAATATAAACGTTTGAAAATGGCAATTTTGGAAATCGAATGAATAAAACGAAGACAATTCACGGCCTCTCGTTCCCTAGAGCTGTAAAAACGCAGGAAAGCAAACAGACCGCCCATATATCCAGGCCGCAATTTTCTCATGGCCAACAAAGGTGTGAATTAGTATGTATGGTTAAGTAGATGCCCTTCGAAGCCCAGAGAGGTTAGTTACCTTATGAGCTAGGCTCGAAAGATATATCGGATACTGACGTCCGCACCGCCTTAGGCCACGATTAGCCCCGGATCGCTGTAGGGGCAGGAGAGTCGGATAATAACCCCGATGGGATGGCTTGGTGGAATGAATGAGTGAAGATAGGCGACGAGGAGGAGGTGTTCGAGCCCAAATCAGAACGAGAATGAGTGGGTGATTGAGATCTTGGAGATCGGGGAGAAAGTAAACTCGATCGCTTTTCATCCGTAGAAGAAGAATCAGGCGACGAAAAGAAAGGGGACCCGGGCGATGACGAGAGTTGTCGGGCAGGAGGATGATGTTTGTCTGCTGATGATTTCTGATCACCTGGTCGACTGCGAGCTTTTGAAGACGAGGTTTCGTACTGTAGATAGGATGTCAGTTTTTACATCTTATAAAGTGACTTTTTCAGGGGGCGACTTACAAAACAGTATTTGTCGACCAGCTCCTTATATCCAGGAGATTGGTGGCAAGGTTTGGCAGACAGAAGCTCAGAGGGCCTCATAGCTTCCTGGGAAGAGCCAGCTGAGCTAGCGACACGTTCCACTCCCGGTATACCAGCCATATCCTGCACAGTAGCGTTTGGTCCAAAGTGGAGCGCGCCCACGTTACCTGGCTGCATTGCTGCAGAAAGTGACGAGCCAAAATCATATCGAGTTGCAAAAGCTTGGCCTGCCGACTTTGTCCTTTTCGTCGGCGCCTCCAGCAAATCATCATCGGCATAAGGAAAATGAACCTGCTCTGTCAAACGGCTAAAGCCGTCATCTCGGGGGCTTTGGAATGATCGAGCAGGAGCGAAAGATAATGCGTTGGGTTGTGGAGGCATCGGCCGTGGCCGTTGAGCGTTCTTGCTGGTACGGGCAGAGGTGCCAAATGGCTCGGGTGCTGGCCCACCGCTGCCATGCCTTGGTTTGTATCTCTTTGAGAAGTTAACATGGTAGTTTCTGGCTCCATTATTGTCCCAGAATTCAAGTCCATTCACATGATATTTGATGCAAACGAACATTGTCTTGCTCTCAAGATCCGCCAGATCTGCAAGCCGGATGCTGAAGTGGAATCTGTCATAATTATTACTTAGATCCCGTGTTTTAACTGCATGAGGAGCGTTGTTATATTCAGCTTCGACCTCCGAAACGGTTTTCCAATGGTCCAGCGTAAACCTGGCGACAACATGTTTCTGGAATGCAAGGTTGGCAACAGTAACGATCCCAACAAGATAGTTGTTATCTGGGGACAGAAACACTCTTTCTAGGCGCACAGGAGCATTGAGGTTGATCAATTCTCGGATTGGAAAATTTGTGATTCGAGCTTCCCACTGGAAGTAGTGCGTCTTGGAATCGGAGCCCGATCTAAATGGGAACTCCGTATCCCCGTCATACTCCTCTACGGGGGACGACCCAGCACTCACCGCAACTGGCATGTCAAGCTGCAAGAAATGGCGAACTTGCTCCAGTTGAGCGTCGAAATGAACGTTCTTCACAAAAGTTGGAGTACCCGGCATACTTGAAGGTCTCCTTTTCATGCGAAGGGCGGGTCTCACAAGCTCTCCAGATTTCTTCCTGATCATACGTGATTTCACGGCGGGCTCATCGTCCTCATGGTCACTTTGGTCCGGTGTCTGCATCTCTATTTCAGGCAACTTGCGTAGAATGGCGCCATCAACAGATTTTGAACGAATGGGCAAAATGTCAATGGAGCTTGGTTTTCGACGGGCATCAGCAACGACGAGAGATAGTTCAGAATTAGGTGAAATCGAATCCGGGCTATCAGCCACACCCGTGGCCGGCGTTCGCTCAGTTTGGTGTTCAATTGCCATGATCGCGGCTTCTAACCCGGCTAGCATGTTCTCCTCAACCTTTCCCTTGCTGCGTTCATCCTCATCGCTCGAATTCTGTCTTGACTCCGGGGGTGAGATAACAGAATACGATGGTATCAATGAGCTGGGTCCAGCTTGGGATGGCTGCCATCCGTGTTGGTTACCATTTGAGATGGCATTTTCTTTAGCATTGGTGTCGTTTCCACCCCTGGTCCTTGGGCGGAAAAGCGGCACGCTTGCACGGATAGAAGAGCTCCGCCTGTGTCCATGGATGTACGAGCTGGACGAAGAAGTGCGTGGTGCAGGGTGTCCCGCCAGGATCAAAGATGGTTCAGAGTTGTGACGCCCATGACGGCCATCCAATAAAGGGCGAAAAGGAGAGCGAAAATCAGTGCTCTCAGTAGTGTTTGTGAAAGTCAAAGACGAAGACGGCGGTGTGTAGGGCATCCGGCCGACTTGGCTGTAGCAAGTAGGCAGACAGCTCTGCTATTATCTTGTCCGAGAAGCCTTAGGACAAAACGGAATAGTAGGACGTTTAAATCTCGGTGTCCAACCACAGTCCTAGCATCCTTTGATAGTTAGCGATTGAAAATGAACCGCAAGTGAAGATAATCCCACTAAATATCATGTCCGTGGCAGTGGTGCCACCGCTGGGAGGGCGCACATAAAACCGGACAAACACGAGGAATTTTACACGATCGAGGAAGCCACGAAGTTGCATACATCTGAAAAGAACAATTCGACAGGCACCAGGAAGACAGTGGTGGGCGACGAAATAAGAGAGTCCAATGCTGTCCTCAACAGCGTATTTTGTGTTGGGAGGGTGAACTAGAAACAAAGGGAAGCTCACGGAGGGAGTGATGCGATATGTATCACCCCGGTCCAGTCGATAGGACCGCACCAATCCAAATGTAAAGTGGCGAGTGCAGAGAGCGGAGCTCGCAAACTATCCCGTGGTGGTGGTCTAGGCGGCACTCTTATAGTTGATTTTTAACAAGGCGTATATGAATAACCCGAGATATTGATGAGAGGTCCCGTGTGAGGGTGTAGGTATTATTGACACGACACGAGAAGGTGGAGAAGCTGTGTAGGAGAGGAGAAGGTGTGCCTGCACCTAGAAGGGCGGGAGCTTCAGAATTAAGCGAGGAGCAGATGATCCTCGCAGCCAAATCCGGCGGATTTCAGGAGCACAGAACAAGAGGAATTCGACGGCGCTGACCGACAAGAAGACGGAGGGGCAGCTGAGCAGATTCGCAGGCTGAAGGTATGGGAAAGCAGGGCTCAAAACAAGGAATAACAACGGCTAAAATTACAGAAAGAGAAAGTGTAACAAACGAACACAGCAGATCTAATGAACAGCAATAAGCAAGCAAACAAACAAGTAGCACAAGAGAAGGGTGATCTGAAGAAAATGGATAGGAAGGACTAATATAGAGAGGAGAGGGAGAGAGGTACGGTTTGGCGGGATGTGGCGGAATTTGATAGTGGAAATGCGAAGGTTTACCACTGGTTTGAAATCCGGAGGGGGACAGAGATTTCACAACCTTGATGAGCTTTTTCCCACCAAAGCTGGATGTAGCACAGAATTATGTCCCTGAACCAACAAGTAGAAGTAACGATTTTCTTTTTAGTCCAGTGAAGATCTGAAAAAAAAAAGGTGGATGGACCGGCCAACCTTCTTGACGCCGACAACGGGAGGGGGCGAGTGCAGCTCAAGAACAAGGGGCGGGAAAGGAGATTGTACGGATGTACCTACAAACACCCGGGATGTACTGCATTTCCTTGTCTCATCCATATGTGGATTAATAGTCTTTCCCCAACATGATTCTGACGCGGAAAAGGGCTGGTGGTTAGCGGAATATCCCTCCTCGCCATCCCCAGCGATATCAGTCGCGACAGAGAGTACCCGGGTTGGCCCAAAATGTTAAAGGGACAGACGTCACTTTTGCCTGCACATTCATACATGTAGTCCATCCACGAGAACGGAAAAAAAGCCTCTAAAGCATCAAGAACCCAAGTTCGCAAGAAAGGAATACTAAGAGGGCCCAGAATCAAGTGGCTTTCCAAGTATTTGTGGTTCTGCTGCTTTATCCTTGCCTGGTTGCCTTATCATTCGCCGCTGCCAAGCCACATCCGTCGTGGATAAGACGACGCGACCATCGTCGAAGTCCGCTAGCTGTTCATCTCGTCGAGATTCTCCCGAGATGAACAAACAGTACATGCATACAGACACGCTTTGGAGGTCTGGACGGTGAGCCTTGGGACTGTATCGCAACGATTTCGTCGGCGTATCAAGAGCCGGAATATCCCAATGAGCACAGTTGTCACGGCTATAGCGAAATCGGCAAGTTACAGTTGCATGACTGTATGACCCAGGACCATCGCTGGTTGAACCACCGGAATACTCCGTATGTAATTATCGGAAGTGGTCTGTCGACTCAACCACGAAACCCACCTTCTTTGCCACACGTGCTCGAGATTGATTTTATTTTATTTATTTATTTATTTTTTTTTTTTTTTGCGAAATTCACTTTTTGGACCAAAAAGTTCCCTCTCAGACTTCCAGAGCTATCACCTGGCCCCAGGAGAGCTCTGTTTCAACAAAGACTGCACGCGCAAACATCAAGAGGTTCATCTGCTTCTGTCGAATATGAAAAAATTAATGTCCAATCAAAGATCATCGTTGCTCAGCATGCGGCCTGAATCATATTAGTTCCGAGGGGAATCGGTCTTTTTTGAGTACGAGACACGAGTCCCACGGACCAGCTTGCGACTTGGGGGGGTTCTGGAAGGCCGAATCCTTGTCGGTGAGAGGTCAAAGGGTTGTCAATTGATAACAACGTGCGCCATGAAAAAAGCCAAAAAAAAGTTTCTTAGCCTCGCCTTTTGGGTTCAAGACGCCATTCGCGCCGCAAGATGCCACTCCATAACCCTGTGGTCGCTTAGTTTTGGAGCATGGGGTGACTTCGTTCATTGGGCTTGTTGGGCGGCTTCTCCCAGTTTTGCGCGGGACCACTTCCAACTTTTTGTGCAACATGGGGGCTCGGATCAGTGGGTACGTCCGCATGAGCTAGAACGGCGTGCTCAACAAGTCCAAACCCAATTCTAACATTTTATGCAGCGCTTCTCCCCTCTCCTCACGCACGAAGAGGCCTGGGCTACTCTGTACAGAGCGCATGGAGGGCTCCGCCACCAGTTGCGCACTCCTGCGAGCGATTGCTCCCGTCCGTTCGAATGTTTCCTGCGCCGTGATTGGCACCACACCAATGTGTTTGCACAGTTTGCTCTCACACTGTGGCTAACTCGTCCCCTTAAGCTCGCGTCAAAGCTGTCACCGAAGAACAGACAAATCCTTCGATGTAAATGCGTGCGATTATTATTACATAACACCTGCCGCTGCGGTACTCTCCCATACGGTATTCCGGGGAGTGAATTTGGCAATTGGCCTCTCCAGAGCAATCCTCGTGTCTTGGGAGCTCGAGACCTCGAACGGTGCATCTTCAAAGAAAGCGGTGAAGAGATCGTTGACAACCGATGCGGGGTAGGTAGCTGCTTGTGAATCATTAGCTCCTTGACTTCCCTGAAACACGGTGTTGGGAATGTCGCTCTGGCCTTGGGGAGGGACGACTCCCGCCCTGATTGACTCGGAGCTGACGCTCACCGATTGAGAGCATTCGTCAGCCGATGGACAGTCACACCATTTCAATTTCCCTATCTATCGGCAATTGCCGTGTGCTTCTTTGGCGTTCTGCCTCTACCCGTGTTCAATAATTGGTTTGGAATCTTGGGCTCAACGCGGCGCTATCCAGTCAGACAAGATATCGCAATGCTTTTCCTACGATCTATCTTTATCTATCGTTTTAGATCTTTTCAGGGTAAGTAGTCTGTGAGGAACAGTCCATTCGTCCAAGTCTATGGAGGCTAACATTACAAAGATATATGCATGATATCTTGGGCACCTTTTGTTTTAGAGCCGCTTTGCAATGGGCTTCAGGTTCACCTTACAATGGCAACGCATTCTCTCCCCGTGCACTGAGAGACCCTGCCGGACCGGAGTACAGCCCCTTGTTTGTAATAATTTTAAGAAAGCTGCCAGTGTGTCGACTCCAGTACCTTTAATGAGAGCTACAATCATTGGTCCGACTATCCATCTTAGGACCACCCATAAAACGAAAAATAAAAATAGAAATAAAAATAGAAATAAAATAAAAAAATAAAGAAAAGAAAAGAGAAAAGGGCGGCCCTTGAACTACCCAAGCTGTACGGTTCAAACTTACCCTGAAGCGGCTGGTCTTCGTTTGGCGTTATCCAAATCAGGGCTTTGCCGCCCCGATGATGGCGGCGATTCCAAACGGTTTTGCCCATTATGTTCCAGTGGCAATCCCATTGGAGCGAAACTTGCGTCCAAGGGTTGTCCGGCAAACGTACTCCATACTGCCAGGAAGAACTTTGGTATCGACTCATCTGATCCATAATGCTTGTCGAAAAAGAAGTGCAAGTACTTGGTTACTGGTGCTCTTACCTTCACTGGAGCTTATGCATTAGGGCAAGATGCCTGGGCGGATATGTATTCTGCACGAAATCTTGCATTGGTCATATCCTATTAGATGCTACATAGAACCGTCATTGATACGTTGGTTCCGCCTGCCCCGCCCTTAATCCGACTCTCGAATTTCTTGCATGCCGCATACGTAACACAGACATGGAGCACGGAGAATTACCTCAGTTCCAACTCGTTCTTTCAACTTTATTCCCATTGATCATAATAGCCGAGTCACTGCACTTGGTAAGCTCCAAAGTCACAAAGCAGCTGGGTATATTTTTGTATTTAGATTAACAGGATAGGTAAGTCATTGCATAAAGTAGGTGGCCACTTCCGCCATGCTATATTCTCCTAATTTTGATAAGGTTACATATCGGCACTTCATATAAGGGTCATTGCACACAACTATTGCAATTAACAACACGCCTATAATAATTGTTTTTCTTGCAAATGTTACAAGAGCCGAGCAAAAGCAGATCCGCGAGGCCCTACCTTTAGATGACAACTGTGTGAGCAGGCGTTCACCTTGATAGGTTGAACCTACAGTTGCAGAAACTGTTCACAAATAATCTCATGTCATACTTCTCCTGAAAATTTTATACTTCCCTGGGTTTCAATGCCATTTTTCTCTTGGTATTAATAACAGGCAAGATCTCAGGCTCCCAGGGCATGGATTTTTTAAACACTCATCCTTGAGTTCGCTTTTAGGGCAAGTCTTTTGATCCTTGATTCGGTCTGGAACTATGCCGAGAAGCGTAGCCAGGGCATTGTTTCAAGGGTCGGAACAACCTGGAGCTGAATCTGCAAGACAATTCATGATCGAAAAGAACATTCAATATTATCGAAAAATTATGCCGTATCAGGTAAGCTCAATAGCCAGCACTGGAGTTCCAAAGCTGATGTGCATCCCTTGTTACCCACTTAAGACGAACATAGAAAAGGTTGCAGCTTTGTGACCAGCACAGGATGCTGGGATTACCATGGCGGTGATCCTATGCACCGCTTTCAATGCGCAATTTTTTGGGGAGACAAAAGCGGATATCATGCTACGACAAGGTCCCAATACTTTCAAGCATATGCATATGAATAAAGTGTGAGGTAAATAAGGATGCTGTTCTTGTCCCAGCCGCAGGATAAGTTACGATTTTGACCAGTGGCGTGCGCTAAGGATGCTCTGTTCAACAGATCCCGTACATCCACAGTAAGTAGCCGCTGAAGCATGAGAGCAGATGACCTTGAGCGCCTCGCCAGATCGGACTGCTGTCCCTTTTGGTACCATTGAATATCTTGGGAGATAGCAGAGGAATAAACGAACTAGTTTGAGAGATGACAACGGAAATGAGTCCATCGTAACGGTGATAAGGCGTTTCGCTTATCTATTCCTCACCGGTGAGGCGAGGAGTAACCAATCATCGGGTGAGTTGCTGCGTCTGGCCACGTTGTCCGTGTATTTGTCTGCATTCGATCACATAGCCAGGGATTGGACCCTTTTGCGTGAGAGCTCCGTCTTATGGAGAAGGCAGCCTGGCAGGCCTATACTCCGGTAAGCAGCAGGGCACCGATAACTATCTAATGGCATCTTTCGCCCGTGAAACAACGTCAAGCGACTTGAATAGGTACCTGATTCTGGCAATGTCAGGTGGTCTTGTCTCGCCGGAAGCCTGTATTTGATGCATTGACAACTCACTTCCACCCTCCATCAATCTCGGTGGTCGTCTATCATCCCCACATTTCGGATACCGCATATGCAATCCCATTCTTGCGGCCAGAACAAAAGAAAAAAAAAAAAAGAGGCTTTAATATCGTCAATTGCCGACGCATCGGTGGCCGATTCAAAGTCAACATACTCCGTATCTATAACGGGATTCATTTTAAGATTGAGGGTTTTTCAAGTTATACAGTGCAGATTCCAAATTCAAGTTGCGAAATTTCTTTGGTTTCATTTCTTTCTCCCGCTGGTGGTACCGAGTACTCCGTACTCTGACCCGAACCTCTCTCAAAGGAATCGAGGATCAAGCCCTATCATTGGCCCATATCAAGGGTACGATATGCATGTATGATACTCGCGTATACGCACAACATCCTCGATTATTTTACTTTTTATTTTTGTTCCTATCCCCCCCCCTCCTTTTTGGCTTTACGAAGTGCGCTCGTACGTGTGTTCGTGGCCAAAATTCGATACCCTTATTCCCGCTGGGGAGCCGTAGACAACTGGGATTCAATCCTGCGTCCTTGGCGTTAGTTAACTCACTAACAAGCTAAATGTGGCTGAAGTGCGGCGCACCAGCCAAGGAGTCGATTCCGTGGAGTTATCCGCCTCTACTCCATACCTCCGCACGGTACGGAGTACGGAGTAGTCAAACCCATGGAAGAGAACTGTCCTTTAGCACAACAGAGTGTTAGAGAAAGAACGGTGTGATATCAGACCTCCCGCTTTGTTGGTATTCCAGCGAATCATGCCTTCTAAGGAAGAGAAATTATCCTACTAATGCCGACAATCACATCAGATATGATGGGTGAATTTCAAACGGCAGAGCTACTCCTTAGAATCGTTTTAATTCCTTGACATCTGCACTGCCTTTGCTGTATACTGCTCAGGGATGTCCGATCATTTGCACATTACATGGACAAATTAGCAGAGATATTTCCCAGGGTCCTGTTGGAGAATGCCAAACCTACCAGTTTCTCACTAAACGTATATCTGTTGGCTAGAAGAAATAGAGGCATTGTATGGGCTAGCAACCCCGCACATCCAGGGTAGAACGTGTATCCTTTTCGATGGGAAATCGAGACCTGAAAAATGCCACTTACGATCTATAATCCTCCAAGATGGAGCCATCCTAACTTTTGGTTTCGTATTATTGAGCCAGCTGGCCTTGTCGCATACCTGCGCATTTATTCCAAGAATGACTGGGATTGTCAAGCCGGCCGCATCGATTTGCTCCCCCGCTGGACAAATGATTCCTAGAAGCGAGGTCGACTTACTATGATTTCTTTACTAAAAATACATTGCTGGGTCCATCTAGCTACCATTTATCCTTCGCTCTACGGAGGAGACTTTTCATCAAAACGCATTTTTAGGGGTTTTTGCAGGTTTATCGGAATGACGATCTCTCCCCTCATTGTATTCCTCCATGTAAACAAAATATTTCATTGGGCCCCACGCGAAATATTTGTCTTCCAAAGCCACGAGCCATTGTTCTTTGTGCGCTCTACCAGACTTCTAAACTTTAGAATAGCGGAAGCGGCTGAATTGTCGAAATTGGTATCATTTCGCAGCCATGAAGCATAATTGTGAAGACGGGAATGGAGGTCAGAGGCAAACAGAGCCTGTCCCATTGGACCATGAAGGCTCTGAAACAAGAATCGACATGGAGAGCGTTCGCATCGACGAATGATCTGAGAGGCTGACCTCGGTGGCCATTTGCGGAGTAGGGTGTGTCGGGTGATCTGTCATAGTAGAACACCATGACCGCAGTGACGGGAGACTTTCTGGTCGATAACTACTCCGTACGGCGTCACTGAATGACCCAGCTATTTAGCGCTCTTCCGCCTCATGCCACAACAGGCGCATATGTGTGGAAGCGCACAGCCAGGGGACGTTATTTTCGAAGGTGGCAGGGTGAGCTTGGCTTTTGATCATGCCTCTGGTTGGGCAATTGGTGTCTAAGCTCGACTGTGGATCTCCAGCGAGCATCGGACAAACTTCGGTGATCAAGCCCACCCAGCTCTTGGCATCAAAACATGAAGCGTGGATGGTGGATCGACTCCATCATAGGTAAGGAAGATCTTTTGCCTCTGAGAATGTGCGGGACAGCGCTCTGAGGAGGGTCACCCCATGAGAAACCCAAGGTTATGAGTGGACCACTTACGCTGCTGATGCGCACGTATAGTATGAAAAATACGTCAGTGGACTTAGAGCTTGGAGTTTCCGAGGATTCAACTTTATTCTACAGAGCATCAGGAGATCTAGTTCGAGGCTGTTGATCATACCCCGTATTTATTAAGCAATTGAGTCAAATCGCACTCCACAGGTGGCCCGTATTCTGTCAAAGAGTCGGATGCCTGTTATGGGTTGTACATTTCATTTTCGCACCATGGACGGGTTGGACTCTGTTCGTCCCGCCTTTATACTATGCAGAGGATGGAAACCGGTACTGCAGCCAATTCCCCTTCTTGGATTCAAAGTTGTGAACGAAATAAGCTGGAGGACAATTCTACTCTCTTTACTCCGTAGTATTGAAGTGATTATTAAGATAAAAAGGTTTCAGGATTTCCGTTTATTCAATCTCGATGAAAAGAAATATCCCGTTGACCCAACCGTATCATCTTCCTCTATGTTAGTGAGCAGCCTTCTAGGGCCACAAAAGGGAAAAAGAAAGAAAAATTCCTGCCAAAACAAAAGAGAATGTATAACGCCTAATTTCTCGGGCAGCGGACAAGAATCTCCACAACCTTGACCGAGACTCGGAGAGCCCTTCCTCCCCGATCCACAACAATGCGATTTCTGTCATAAAGTCGTTCTCCTTGTTCAAGTTCATGCAAGTACCGCCTTTCTTCCGTATCCATTCTTCCGGTGACACTGACGTCGAATTTCTCTGCCTCCGATAGGTGATTTGTCAAATAAGCCATCATCTCTCGACTCGCTTGCTTGTTCGCCAACTTTCGAAGGGCGAACCCTTCTTTCCCATACGCTTGGCGTGGTAAGGCCGGAAAGCCATCAGCTTCTTCTGCACTGTGAGCGGGAGTTAGTTGGTTCAACAGGCCAACATGCTCAACCACGATGTAAACTTTGTTAGGAAGATATTCCAATTTTCTGCGCTTCTTTCTAGGTAATTCCTCATTTTCAACTAATTCGGGCTCTATTTGAACTTGGACGCTTCGGCCCGATTCGAAATCGAGGCATTGTCCATGCAGCATGTCGTCTTTGATGACGGATCGAAGTTCAACGCCAGTCCGGTCTTCAAGCGCGACAGATCTATACACATTAGCAATCTCTTTACGCACGCGGGCTTCTGCCTTTGCTTTGTTGAGATATGTGCGGAGAAAGAAAGGTTCTTTGCCTGTGGCGTTGTCAGTGAGGTATACGTGATAACGGAAAAAGCATGATTCTTCGTCCTGGTCGCTGTCTTCTCCACTGTCTGCATCAGCATCATCGTCACTGGTCGAATGTTCATTCTGGGTATATTTCTCTTCAGCGATGGTTTCCGAAGAAGTTGCTTTTTTAAAGGGTGTGGGCTCTGCAATTTTTTGTTCGAAACCAGTCGGCGTTGCGGTGCTGTCTTCTGGACTGATCTTTGCCTGAGAGATTTGCGCTACCTTTTTATTGAGTGCATACTCGCGTCTCTGTACGTTGCGCATAATTGTCCCCATCCGCTCTTTCTCAGCTCCGTTGAGAGGCTGATTATTGTCAAGCTTCGCCCGACACGCTTCATACTCCCGAAGCTCACTTTTAGTTCGGACGTGGTTGGGTTCCTTCTCGAGGAATCTAATCAGAGCTTCCCCGGTACGAGTTACAGCGCTTAGGCTAGAATCCTGTGGTCTGATGATCGGGGAAGAGCCTGGGTTACTCCAGGAATTATGTCGAGCAAGAAGCTCATTGACAATAAAGTCGATACGCGATGCCTGGGGCCTTTCTCGGTGGCTATTGCTTGGGCCGGGCAGGGGCGTGGAGTGGCTTCCAAAATTCGTAGAACGTTCTTGATGATCGAAGGGATGCTTTTGATTCTTATCTCTTTGGCTTTCTTCTTCTTTGTCGGAGGTTTCCTTCGGGAAAAGAAGAGCTAATTCAGCAGGGGGGCGAAAGTACCCTTCAGCCTCCCTTGGTTCCCTTTTTGTCCTCGCATGGTTAGCCTCCCGTGAAGCTTGGTTGGCGAGGTGCTGCTGCCAGGAGAGTGTTCTCCGGCGTCGTCTGGAAGTCAGAGACGGATATCGAGTATGGGCCATCCAGTAGCAATCGGGTCGCTCGGGTGAAATTAGCCAATTGTTATGGAGTACAGCGCAGCCAAAAAGGCTGAGAATTCCAGGCCTACTTTCTGTTTTCAAACTCTGGGGGTGATAATAATAGGGTAAAGCAGTAATATGTTCTGCCTTTCCTTTCTGAAATGAAAAAAGGCCAACTAGGCTTGAAAATATGAGAAAATGAGCAGCTGTTTCAAGAGAGGTTTCCAGAGGTTGATTTTGTCGCATATTGTTGGTGTCATCGAATGTAAAACCTCACTTTATAATGTTTGTGAGCTGACAAACTTGTGCCCGTCGAGTCAGCAAGAGTGAATGTCACTTGCATCTATTCCTCAGAATAGCGAAGTAACCATTCGGGCATGCCCCACATCATTCATCTGAGTGAATCTGTCTCTACTGCGGGAAGCAGATCCAGAAACTTGTATGCGCCGAAGCAGGCGTATTGTGACAAGCCCAACATGTCTGACTTTTGAATCTAGATTCACTAGTAAACAAAAAAAGGGCTGGTTGAGACAGAAATTCTTATTGTCCTCCATGATGGGGGTTATTTTGGTGGTCTGATTCCTCCTCTCAAGTGGGATTAACAATTCAAATTGAAGTGATGATTCACATGACATGGATGTTAACATCATCCATTGGGTGTGGAGTCAATAATTTATTTATATCGCTCGAAGGAAGTCAGAGAGTCAACAAATTCACCAAGGTTATAGCGGCAACAGTCCTACAGCTAATTTATCTCTTAAACTATCTTCTGAAGTTGGGGTATTTTGGAGTTTAGTGTACTTTTCGACAATTCTCTATATGGGACGGAAACATTGGGGGACAAAATGGCAAACACTGGCTTTGTGGACTTGGAGAAAGAGTTGACCTGTTCTGTGAGCATATATGTTCTTCTTAACTTGTGTGGGCTATAGAGAATGCTCTAAATGATATGCTGTGGTTTGTGATACTAATTCCGGTCTCAGATATGCACAGACTTGCTCTATCAGCCTCTAACACTCCTTGATTGCCTCCATACATTTTGCGGTTATTGTCTGAAGGAATGGTTTTCATGGCAAGGATCGAATCATGGTGACCGAAGAAGATACCCACAGTTTACTTGTCCCTCTTGTAGGGCTTCAGTCCGCGACACAAGACACGATGCGAAAGTGACAACGCTCCTAGACCTGTTTTTGCGGTCGCACCCCGAGAAAGAAAAGCCCACGGAAGAGAAGAACCAGATTGCGGAGAAATATAAGCCGGGAGATGGCGTACTCCCGGTTGGGGTAAGTTCGTCGCAACCTCCATCTGATGGAGATGATGAGGAAGATCGAAGATTGTTGGAAGAAGTCAGAGAGATGAGCTTAAGGGACTCGCAAGGTAGAGGGAGGCACATGGAAACGCAAATTCGCGTGCCTACCTCTCTGGTCCAAAGGGGCGCCGTTGCCGAACAGACCCCGGAGCATCAGAGGATCGAAGATGCACGAAGAAGACGACGCGCTACGAGACAGATGAACGCTACATCCCGCTCGCGGAGCCCTCTTGATGGAAGTTCTCAAAGGGCAAGACAAGTTGAACATCAGTCTAGTCTGCGGTCCCTTCTGAGCAACCCTGACTTTACTGAAACTGCTATCCAGGAGGAAATCCTGCGACAAATAGCCGAAGAAGGTCTATTGGATGGCATTGATCTTCAAAGCCTCGACCCTGATCAAGAAGAGGAGTTGACTGAGCGCATAGCGGAAGCTTTTCGAAGACGCCAAAGGCGCAGAGTGAGATCCGGCGGGCGATCAAATGAGGCACATAGCATACAGGCATCTTCTGGATCCCGATCCCACAGTGTGAGCCAGCCGAACACCGAACGAAGTAGGCAGTCCGAGGCTGTCCAGGGACAGTATTTGAGGTCCTCAGGACATGCTACGGCTTCAGGTCATCGAAGGAGTGCATCCGATCGCGGTATCGGTCGCAGGCGGACATCACCTGTTCCAACATCATCTGAAGAACGAATATACCCCGCTCGTAGATCCGCTACGGATGTCTCGAATCCTACGCGGGTTCGCCGAGAGTCTCACTCTCGAATCGCAGTGGATGATGAAGCAAACAGCAGATCAACTACAGCCGATCAAACTCCAAGCCATACTAGACAGCGACCAGCAAGCTCTAGATCTGACCGTCGCGAAATTCTCGTTCGACAGAGGGCCGAGCCTACTTCTCTGGCCGAATCCCCCGTTTCAACCACCCACTCCCAATCCTCCAGGATCTTAGATTCAAGGGCAGGCCTGGGGCATAAACATCGATCCAATTCCCGCTCCTCCACAAATAATCAATCGGATCGTCTAGCCGTCCCATCCTCGAGACCACCACCATCTCGGCAAGCTGGAATCGCACGTAGTGTCCCGTCCTCTTTCGTCGAACCATCGATATCATGTGAGCGGTGTGGAAAGAAGAATCTAGAATACGAACTACATAAATTATGCACTCGTTGCAACAATGGCACTTATCATCTATGCCTACGTTGCTACCGCCTAGACCTCGGGTGTTTGCATTGGTTCGGCTTTGGTGATTCAGCCCACAGTCGTTTTAAGAAAAGCCAAGATAGCTTGCCTCCAGAACAGCGAAGTGAAGAGGCTCCGCATAAATTCCGCTCCCGCAGATTCCTAGCTCCCGCGAAGGAGTCAGTTTTGCCCACAACCGGGGAGGGTGGGACACACATTACAAATTCGGATCCTTTAGGGCGACTGCAAGATGGTCTGTTTTGTGATATGTGCCAGTTTTTCTCAGATGATTGCTACTGGAAGTGTGGCGAATGTAACGATGGGGAATGGGGCTTTTGCAACTCGTGTGTTAACAAAGGAAAATGCTGCACCCATGCACTTCTCCCTATTGCTCGTGTAGATGAACGCACTGGGCAAATGCGATCTTTTGGTGCAGATGGTTCTCCGACTAATGCAGCATCCTCTCCTGTTCCGGGATCCAGCATCACTGTTGATACACGAGAGTATCGGATTCTGACCTTCTCCACCAGGTGCAATATCTGTACATATCCCATCCCGCCATCCGTAACTCGCTACCACTGTCCAACATGCAATGACGGGGATTATGACATCTGCAGAAACTGCTATGTGAAACTCTGCGCGATGGGTAAAATAAGCAGAGACAATGGACGGAATGGATGGCGCCGCTGTTTACAAAACCATCGCATGGTTATTGTCGGATTCGAGGATCACGAAAATGGGCAAAGACGTGTCATAGTCAGTGGGCTTGTCGGCGGATATGCAATGAAAGATGACCTTGACCCCACTACACCAAATAGTCTTAATCGCCCGGATAGTGGCTCTCCAAACAGTCCTCTTTCCCGCCAGGATTCAGATCCATGGGAGTGGCCCGAGGGCTCCAATTCAAATAACCCTGACGCTGCGGACCTGGCCAAGGGTACGAGGCGTAAGCTCAACCGATCGCGGCACCATTTGAGCGGTAGCTCTGGCGATTCTCCTAAAAGCCCGCTTGCACCACGTTTTCCTCCGTCAGGTGGAATTGGTCTCCGCTTAGTTGCGATCTGGTCATACTATCCGGATCCGGAAGAGACGGATGAAATAATGTTTCCTCGAGGCGCCGAAATCACAGAAGCGGAGAATATTAATGATGACTGGTTCTGGGGATGCTATGCTGGCCAGAAAGGCCTGTTTCCGGGGTATTACGCTAACGTCGTAGAGGCAGTGGACATATTGAATTGAATTACGGAATATGAATGATGGAGATGTTGAACATCAGATGAATTTAATGAATTAGGCCACGAATGAATGACAGAAATATTAATGATAATGCTCTGTGCTCCAAGTTATTCAAAGCAGTCCGGGATTAGAGAGCATTGGCGATCAACCTCATGATCCATGTCAAATTTTAAACTCCGGGGCCCCTTTTCACTTGCAAGCCCAATACGGGCTCCCATCGGCATCATAACAATACTAAGTATTAATTTTCCCTTTTCTTGAATCTAAGATATCAAGTTGTTATTTGCAAAGAGGAGTATGCTCTCCTGTCTGCTGTCCAACAAATCCGATTTATTTCACTTCACGGTTGCACCTTACATGTGAATTCACCAAAATATTACATCGCGACGCATCCCGATATCGACTCAGTCGGAAGAGTAAAAAGAGTGTTTCGTCTGTGGCACTTGAATCTGTCACTCATAATATTCAGTGATAGTGAGAGAAAAGGCTCAACAGCAGAAAGAAAGCCAAAGGTCACCACAACAAATGTCGAACACAATCCCTTTCACTCTCGATCTTCCCACAGTCCTCTCCCTCGCAACCGTCCTCTCACTCCTCCCGTTCTCTCTGATCCTCGCCATCCTCCTAATCCCATCCAACAACTCCAAGTACCGGTTCCTCTTCTTCTGGCACGCGTACGATGCTCTCACTCACTTCTTCATCGAGGGCTCTTTCCTCTACCACTGCTTCTTCAGCTACACGACTCTCCTGTCACCCGCATACGCCGTCGCACGCGCGAAACCCTATTTCCTAAATCAAGGCGATAAACTATATGGACCGGCCTATGGCGTTGGGCCTACAGCGAGGATGTGGCAGGAGTACGGCAAGGCGGATGCGCGTTGGCTCGGCGCGGATCTAGGCGTGATTGCGTTGGAGATATTGACCGTGTTCTTGGGCGGACCGGCAGCGGTGTATATCTGCTACATGGTCTACAAGGCTACGGGTTCGTCGTTAACCACGACGGCGCAAGAAGCGGCTAAGTATAAGGGGAGATTATGGTTTGTGGCTATTGGACTGGCGGTTGCAGAGCTATATGGCGGGTTCATGACCTTTGCGCCGGAGTGGCTGTCTGGGAATACAGCGCTGGAGACCAACGATCATGTTTATCTGTGGGTCTATTTGGTCTTTTTCAACATGCTATGGGTTTTCGTGCCGATCTGGGTGCTGTGGGCTGGTTGGAGCGAGGTTCACGGTGCATTTGTGGGAGCTGCCTCTGGTCTGAATGGGAAGAAGAGAGTGTGATATGGTATTCAATGACTTATAGCTACTCAACTGTTTCTTATTTCGTGATCCTCAAATATTTAAAAGAATATTAGTGAAAATGGGACATGAAGGACAAAGGCCTCCTCGGAGCATTTCATATTTGCTGATTCTGCACTCCGTACGGTTGCAGCGGAAATGATCACAGATCCACCTGTCAGTGGTGCCTTGCATCAACTTGCGGCTTTAGCTCAGTTGGGAGAGCGTTAGACTGAAGCCCCACTTCAGTTTGCAATCTAAAGGTCGCCTGTTCGATCCAGGCAAGCCGCAGTTCATTTTTTTTCCTTTCTTCTCTTTTTCCTTACATATTTTTTTTTTTTCGTTTTTCCCTTCCCCTTCAACTGTTTGCATAGGAATTGAGTATTAATATGCCCTTAATTCCTTGCTCCTCTACTCCGTACCCTTTCTCCATTGTCCATTAGCATATAGCTACTAATGAGCAAATCAGGAACCGCATACAGAGTACCCCGTCACTCATCAAGGTTAGCACGCTGTGTTAACTGTCTTTGCTTCGCGTTTCCGTGATTTAAAGTCCTTGTCGCCATTCTGATTTGAAGGACTAGCCTGTAAAGATCAACACATATAGCCAGGCTTCTGCTTCCTCTTGCTCCATATTTCTCTTGGTAACGGCACAGGCTGAGAGCCGACAGAATGTTTTCGTTGCGAGGCATAATCCAAAGTGAGCTGAGAGGGCTTGGTAGGAGCGCTGACTGCAGAACATCCTTCGCTTAAATGAGCCTCAGCGTGGTAGCCACGTGCGGTAAAGCAGGGATGGGGTGCCGTGGTTGTTTGGACAAGGACCAGAGCACACTCGCTACTCCAAAGTTAGTGACCACAAGAGCTTGAGTTCTTTGATAGCCCCTAGCACGGTGCTCCTGCGGCTGGGCTGTGCAACGCTGGTGAGCGAGCTGATTCGCGCTCTCAGCTTGACGCGAGGAACACACTGTGGCGCAAGTGTGGCTGGCTCCCCCGCGACGTCCCCGCCGTGGTTCTCCCCGCCATCGTCAACTTGTTACAATGGGAGAATAGGGCAGACCGAAGAAGGGCCTAACAAACTATTATATTTGAGCCAGAACAGCCCCCAAAAATAAAAACAATAGCTAGCTCTTTCATCCTAATATTCACCCCTCGAGAATTTGTCTTGATTCCTCCCATTTTCGCTCCTCGCTGAAAAACATGGCCAATCCGTACCAAAACTACTCTGGGGCACCAGGTTGTATGTGCTGATGCCGGCCCCGATCCAATCCCAATTGCTAACTTACCTTTCTGAGAAGATAACCCAAACCCCGCATATGCTCAACCTGGTCAACAGCCTCCTCAACAGCCGCCGCCCCATGGTGCGCCTCCTCAGGGTTACTATCCACCTCCACAAGGCTACCCTCCACAGGGCTATCCTCCTCAGGGCTATCCTCCGCAAGGACAATACCCTCCGCCTGGCCAATACCCTCCACAGGGCCAATATCCCCCTCCCCAACAGCCAGGTTATGGGTATCCTGCACAACCTCCCCCGGGTGGATACAACATACCCCTAGGTGCTCCCGGTTACGGAGCGCCCGGCCAGTTTCCCCAGCCTGGGTATGGGGCACCCGTCGCTCCGACTCCACCGTCGCCAGGATATATTCCTGGCCAGATGGCAACAGGCCGAGATGCAACCAAAGATGCAGAGGCCCTCCGAAAGGCCATGAAGGGGTTCGGCACTGACGAGACGACCCTAATTGATATCTTGTCCCGTGCCGACCCATTGTATATGGCCCTCATCAACGATACGTACACCAAGAAGATCAAGCGAAATCTTGAGCAGGACATTGCCAAAGAATGCTCTGGAAAACTTGAAAAGGTTCTCTTGGCCCTTGTCCGTGGGCCATTGATGCAGGATGTATATGCGGTCAATGAAGCTATCAAGGGGATGGGCACAAACGAAAGCCTACTCGACAACGTGCTTCTCGGTCGAACCAACGCGGACATCAAGGCGATCAAAGAAGCGTATAAAAAGACATTTGGTTCCTCTCTAGAAGCTGACGTTCGCGGCGACCTCTCGGCGGCCACGGAGCAGTTCTACAACAACGTCATGGCCGCCGAGCGCGCTGAAGAAGCCACACCCATCGATCCCAACTTGATCGACCAAGACGTCAAGAGTCTTCACGGTGCATTGCGTGGAAACCTCGGCGTCCCTAAATCCGTGGTCTTCCAGATGCTGGCCCGGCGATCAGATGCTCAGCTGCGTGCCATTAGTGATGCATATAAGGCACAAAACGGCACGGATCTTGAAGCGGATATATCTGAGCTCTTTGACGGCCATATGAAGGACGCCCTCGTGCAGATACTACGTGGCGCCAGAAATCCAGCCAGGAAGGACGCGCAGTTGTTGGAAGAAAGCATGGCTGGGTTTGGAACCAAGGATGAATTGCTGATTTACATGGCCGTTAGGGTGCACTGGAATCGCGACCATATGGAGAAAGTGAAAGATGCGTATCGAAATAAGTATGGAAAGGAGCTGAGAAGTCGTGTGGCAGGAGAGACGAAGGGCGACTATGAGAAAGCTTTGTTGGCGGTTTTGCAGTGATTACATCTGCACTGCATGTCTTTTTCCAGAGTAATAGTCAATATCTTTTCAAATGATGATGATGATGATGGTACAAGTTCTGTTTGCTGCAACCATTCAAGTCTCTGATTTCTGATGTGGTTCAAAATGACTTGATATTGCTTGGTTTCCACAGCACGGCTACCATGTATCCAGCCCGTGTGCGGAGTAAAGTTTATGTATTAATATTGTTAAAGTAAGTGTTCAACTCTGTGATCCTAAATTTATCTTCTCATTTATGGATCTTTTGACTGCCACGTAGCATCCCCAAAAGTATATGCACGAAATAGGACGAATGGAGACGACAAGGAATACGCTCTGAAGTCCAGTAAAAGCCTGGATTGGGGGCAATCGCCATCATTAATTACATATAGGTATCTCCGTATCATAATTCAGGGTCAGTCGCAAAAGCAGAAAAGCGCAAGAACTGTCCAATCTCCAATCTATATAAACTAGAAGATTAGCATTCGCTGGTCAATGGGAATAGAATAAATGGGACCCATGTACGGGACGTGACGGCACGTACCAGACAGCCAACCATCAACCACCGCCTCATTATCCCATTATATACGGAGTACCCATCATATTGTTTACCAACCAAACCGAAAAATTAAGTAAAAGAAAGCCCCATCCGTCAATTGAGTGCAGTCGCTCAACGATGTCGCTCATGGCTGTTATTGTCTTCATGATCGTCCTTCAACAACCCACGCACGCTCTCTCTAACGCTAAATCCACCAAATAGCCAATCATTCGCATGGCGACCGCAGTGATTCACAGTGCCACTTAGTCGCTTATAATCGTTGCTGCTTTTCCGCGAACTGTACGAGTGTCGTTTCTTCGAGGACGAATGCGATTGTTCTGAGGGAGATGTTATCGGGCTCATTGGCAGCGGAGAATCCATTACATGGCCAGAATGGGTGAAAGTGTTTTCCGTAGGTGACGCCACGAGTGTGCTAGTAGTATCTGTGGCATTGGTGATAATCGGTGCGGGAGATTTTGACCGTGAGAGACGAGTGCTCAAGAAGCGGCGGCGGGTTGGGGACTTAATGTCCAGCATTGTGTCGGCGTGAGAGTGCTTTTCTTTGTCGTGGGAGCTGTGGAAGCCGGGGAGATGGATGGGTAGAGATGGTATACGAGAATGAGACGACTTCTTGCTCGAATGGCCAGTGGTCGAAGATTGGCTATTGGATCGGCTGGACTGCGAACCAGATGGGGGGGAGTCGGTCATTCTCTAGGTATGCTTTGTAGGCTGTCTGTTATGCGGCCGGAGACGTAGAAGATTGAGTTTCTCGAGGCGGTAAAAGAAAACACTTCTATTATTAAACGCTTTGAGAATCGAATAGTCGATTCAATCGACGACGGCTAATGTCAAAGCTTGGACTGGGCAACGACTAAAGAGAGTAGATCGAAGACGCGCTGCGCCGTTGCACACTGCTTCCCAGCGCCAGAGCGGGCCCCGTGGCCGATATGCAGGCAAGTGCAGTTTCCAGGCGTCGTGCCACAAATTGTGCCAATCCAGTGGCTCTCAACTCTCCGGGAGGTCGAAGAAGAACAAGAGTCACGAGAGAGTTGCTGTCGTTTTAATCAAACTGACAGACAATCCGCGCAGCTATGGGGAATCGAAACAGAAAAGTATTGAAACGAAATGGCATCCCGCCAGCAGTATTTATACGCAAGCCCGATCCCTTCTTTGATCTCGAATTCCCCTCAATTCCTGCAATCTCGCTGTGAATCAGCGATGGGCCCGGCAAAAGAGCAGCTTCACGATTGGCTGTGACGTATCCCATTGCAGGGATCTCGCATTTGCGCTTCACCCGAAGGAGTCATCGCGCCGCTGCCCCGGATCACCCATTGGATCGTTGGTGGGATAGTGGACAGCGAGGGCATCCACAATCCACTCTAGTCCAGGTTGGGTCGGAATCCCCACGGTCAAGCAGCCCTGTGATCCCTAGATTCCCGCACTTTGAGGGTGGTGAGCCGCATTCCCATCCATAGGGCAGCCGAGTTGAGGCGGTGACTGGACTTGTGTGCCAAGAACAGCCCACACGATGCCACGAAACCGATCGGAATGGTTGGATGAGAGATTATCTGGTAGCAACACAGCAGGCCTTTCCTTTTTTTTTTTTCTTTTTTTAAATTGTTATTTTAGCTCAAGTCATCTTGAGAAGCGGGAATATAGCACGAAGGTTTGGATTTCGTGCAGGTCTGGTGGTGTCTTACTCACGAAGACTGATGAACTTGGATAACTTATGTCGTTGGAGAACTTTATAAATTCCAAATTGTCGGGAGTTTAACGAGCTCGCCCAGTTCATTTCTTTAAAAGCTTGACATGGGCTTAAAAAACAAAAATACTTGTGATATTTTTTGGATTTTTTGACTTGTGGATGGAATTTGATCTAGATGGAACTGAGTATTCCCGGAGGGAATCGCCTGAGTCTTTAAAAAATCCAGCATCTTGATATGTGCGATACATGGGCCATTTGCACTCAAACCAGACATCAGAGCCGAAAATTCTGTCTATCTTTCAAGTTGATGCAAATGCTAAGCTTGTTTGTGACAAAAGCCATGCACTGTGACTACCTTGGTGCAATCTTTCCCTGACTTTGCCCATACAGGGCTCATGACTAACTTGTTGCTTGAACGCGTTCCGTCTGATGCTCGAAAAAAAAAGAACAGGATTCTTGTTGAAAATTACCTAAAATGTTTCAGCTCTAATGCCTCGATCATTTCATCTACCCGAAAAGCTACCTTAAAAAATGCGTTGGAAAAAAAAAAAAATTTCTTGATATCTGAATTTGTGCTGTGGTTTATCGAGGCTGGAACCGAACGCCCGAAACGTCAATTTGGCCGAAATAAACTATCTCTCAAAACCTGTCAGGGAGATATCAAGAGCAACTGAGCAAAGAGGACTTGTTCGGGCTTTGAAGACCAGAGTCTGGGCCGCATATATGCAGCTCAACGTTTCGCAAGACAAAGAACTGAGAGACCAAAAATTTACCTCTTGGTTGATGGAACTAAGGATGTGCATTGCCAGACGACTATTGTCAAAGATTGGGCGAGCCGCCCCGGAACCGATATCATTTTATCAACGTATTTTGGACGGCTGGCTGCATTTCACTCAGTCGAGAGTGTTTTAGCGCACAGTCCGAGGTCACTCTATGATCCTTGCAGAGGGAAGCCAGCACCGTTCTTGGTGCTAAAGCAACTCTCTTGGCACGAGCTGAAAATGCCATCGTGTATCATCTGGTGCTCAGTACTCTATATATATTCCATGAAGAGTAACTAACAGCGTCCTCGTTGATCGAATCTCCTTGTGCTCCTGTGGATCAATGGCTTGGTCAAAGCCTAGAGATCTATGGCGAATGCTATTCCTATTTTCGGTTACTACTTAAATCAGCACGCTCGATAAGCGGTACACATGGTCTAAAACATGGCCAAGGGCTTGTACCATATTCAGAACTTCCAGGGGTGAGCTTGCTATGTCTGATAGCTAAAATATTGCGGTCTAATATACTCGAGGTTAACCTTAATATATTGCCTCGCGGCGCTGCAGCTATTCCATGCTGGAAACGCTTACTCGGAGTGCTATGGTAGCTGCTGTCTCTCTAGATTTGGCGAAATGCTCATTCCTATAAGATCCTCGCCATTCTATCTGTCGAATGAAAAGGCGCACTATGGGGGAGGGTGATGTATGTATAAAATTTGAATCACCTTGTGGACTAAGGAAGAGGCAAGACACAATGGCTAATTCCAACTCCAAGGGCCACCAAGACTTTCCCATCGCTCGGCCACGAGGGGTCGAACAGACCACCGGGGTTTGCAAATTTCTGTTCTGTGAACTCTGTTTCTAGAGTTGAATTATGCGATGGAAATCACCCATGGTTGGCCATCACGCATAAGGGTGTCTGCAATGTTTTGGCACAGAAGCGGCCATCCAGGGTCTGGGATGCAGTTGAAAGCCGAATGAATACTTTCCGGGATGGACGGAACGCCCTTCTGAGAGAGACGTCTGCCCCAGCGGATTTCCTAAACTATGTTCTGGAGGAAAGGCTGCTGTGAAGAGCTAAGCAAATTATTGATATGGGTCGCCTGTGCCACATGCGTCAGAGATGGGAATAAATAGTTACCTGATATTGAAAAATAAGTCAAGGACCGGCAAATTTTCGTGCGGTCGCCAGGAGTATGGCCATTTGAGCCTTTGTTCCTGCCGGAATTTTTACAGTCACAGATTGCGACGACAGCTTCGTCGAGGTGGTGATCAATAGCAGCTGCGGGGTGTTTGCTCTGCCAATCCCATAACATTTCGGTCATGAGACTCTGTGAAGACCATTTCGATTTTCTTAAAACTTACAACAAGAATGAGATCGAGGAATTCTTCTGTGGCTTCCCGCTGCCATGATGATAACACAGGAAGATTTGACGGGCCTGAAGGGACCGAGATGAAGAAACCGATGCTATGCGATGCGTGGCCTTCAGAGCGGAACTAGTCAATCTGGTCGCGTGGGCGGCCTCGATGTGCCATTTTCTTGGCAGGGGAACTTCGCTTGGGACAAGCTAACTAACTAACTAAACGAGCTACTTAACCAAGCTCGGTACTCCGTAACCTGTCCGCCAAGCGCAGCGCCACGCAGCTGTGGCTTGATGCTCGCTGGTTACCGATTCACTTCGACAGTTATAGCGGGCTGGACGAAGATGGGGCTTCATATATATATATATGGGTATGCCCCCTACCAGGGCCTCGCTGTTGCACCAGGTGAACATTGCGATGCCATATCCATCTGGTCTATGATGATTGTTTTCCGGCCAACGCCCCTGCGCCTGCACACGTTACCATAAATAACTTCTCGCCCTTCTCGACTCACAGCAGCTCTTCAGGATCAAAGTATTGATGCTGAGGTGAAAAGAGATACTCAAGAGGTGTGCCAAACTTGAGCACTATCTCAAAGGATTAAATTCTACTCGGAATTCTTTCTAAGCTTGATGCCAGTTTCTTCTCTGTCTTTGGGCATATTGCCCCAGGCTTCTCTGTCGATACATAATAGATGGTGTTATCCCTCATTCATGGCGGCTGCTCTTTGTCGCTGGCTATGTTTGCTTTGTGACAATACTAAAAAATCCCAGTGGTTTCTCCATAGGTATCTGCTTCTTGGAGCTCTTCCTTTATGAGCCTGTCATGGAATCATCGCGCTTAAGGACTCAGCTTGTCTTCTCAGCGGATAGCTAGGAGTTTCTTGCCAGGACCTGTTCTTCTATCCATTTTGTCTGCTACTGATGAACCTGAAAGTTTTTTCAGCACTTGACAGCTTGGATTCTGGGATTTCCTGTGGCAGAAGCCACGACCAAATCAGAGGCACCTTCCACTATCAATTTCTGAACAATCGAACTTATTCACATTAAATTCAGAAGTTCTCATGAGATTCATTGCATGAGGATATCCATTTTACTCAGTTCTCATTGTTAATCATATGTATCATTAAGTTTTACAGGAAGCCTGCCCAGCCAGCAGCAGCTTTTTGGGGCTTGATTGAAACCGCAATCTTAACTTAGACGGGAGATTTTGGCCTGTCGCCTCTATGGAACCAGAGGATATCCGTACCATCATTGGGATCAGCGTCGCGGCCACTGCTGTCATCATTTTCTGTGGTTACTGTACTTGGAGAGGGATCAAACAGCTCGACAAATTGAGGGGCTCTAAGCACGAGGTGCTACCAGTGCGCGAAGAGGAAACGGCACGCGTCCGCTTTTCTCCCAACGTCCAGGTCATTTAGATACTTCGGATCAACTGGGCTCAGGAACATCGGCGCTGTGGAGTGGGGGACAGCTCTGTAATATGTGGCGAGGCTTTATTTCCATTAATGGCTCCAGTTCACAGGCATATTTTGCAGTCCAGACAGAGCATCCTCCCTCCTCGTCCTGCACAAGGCCCACCGGGCCAAGTACGTGCTGTCAATTCCGCCTTTGGGTTCACATCCCTTTTGTCTCTATTCGTGGCTTCATTCCTCATCTTCGTTGCCGCCATATTTTGTTGGAAAATTAGTGCCTTTCTCCGCATATTTACTCGACATAGGGTGATCGCCGGAGGAAAAGAGGCAGGCATTCGCTATGCAAAGACGTGGTATGGTTGGGTACCTCTGGATCGTCGTCAAAAGCAGCGGCAGCGGAGGCAGCAGTGGTTCAAGACACTTCGAGGCTGGTTAGCCTGGAGAACTTGTCACACCGATTACAGTTGGGTCTGGTGGGACCCGCAAGGCAAGAAACTTGAGAAGAGAGTACGAGACCAGCAGCCCTTGAGTTGGATCCCGTCGTCATTGACAGGCTATGTCTTTGACCCTGCCGGCTCCACGTCCAGTCTAAGTCATCAAGTCAAGCGTCCCCAAGACGAAGGAGCGGCAAATTTAACCGCCAAAAATGCGTCAAAGTTGAAAAGCAGGGATGTCGTGCCTGTTGAAAATTCACATTTTCCTTTTGTGCGGAAGCGGCCTAAACGAGAAAGACAACTTCGAGTTCCCCAGGAGCATCAGCCGTCGCCCAACATCAGTAATACTCTAGCCTCCCAAACTGACATCACATTTGGGAATGATGGGCAGCTCAGTCTGAATGAACAAGAAAACCGTCCAGCAACTCCCTACTTACCACCTGCTTGTAAATCATCTTCCAAGCGCTGTGTTTCGCTCCCGCATTCAACCTTTGAAGTAACACAGAAAAGCGAACCCCGACCCGCACACGTCCCAAGATGTGTATCTGATGGAGCTTCATTCAAAAACCCCAAGTTATGCGAGAATCCACGCTCTAAGAATTCCACAGCAGCGTCCAAACCTTCTATTCTAAGTACCGGTGGCTTCGAGGAACCAATGCCAACCATGAAGGCTGAGAGGCACTTGTCATGGAGATACAAGGCTTGGGGGGCACGAATGCAACGCGCAACCTTTCCTAATACACCGATTTGGCTATGTGGACTAGCCGGTCGGCCTGGAACTCCATTTCCAGATGCCCTAAGGAGCTTAATTTCGACAGGATCAGGCTCTGAATGCTGTAGGTCAACAATAGATTATTCTCATTTGCCCGTTGCGTCTGACTCCTCCATGACTGGTATCTATTCTCAATCAAAGCATGCCCTCTCGCCTTTACCATACCGCTTTAGGATGCATCCAAGTCAAAAAGAAAGGATAAGCACAATCTACTCAAGCACGGACCGTTTTCTGAGTCAGTCTTCACTGAAAGCTAGCCGCAAGTCGTTTAAGAATCATTCGGATAATGCCATAGAAGAACCTGCTCCATCTGTTTGGACCGCCAAACAGTTACAGAACCAACATGGCGGCAGTATTCGAACTCAAAGACAAATCAGTAACCCTGAGGTACGCTTGCTTGACGACCTTGAACGCAAACTTGAGTGGCTCTCTAGCGAAATGGACCCTGGGCGCAAAACGGATAACTTTTCAGTAGTCTATAACCACTGGTTGAACAAAACCACATGGGTAGTCTATGATCCGCCGTCAAGAGTTCCATCTACAGAGAGAAGGCTTTATGGGGATCCTAGGTTCAATTATCCTTATCAGGCTAAAAGTGAACTTCGCAAAGCGGAACGTCCTCCCATTCAAAGGAGCAAGCTGCACACTCCCAAAATAGATTCGTGGCGTTTGGCGGTAAATTCTGCGAGGCAATCAGCTGGAGTTCAGAGATTTTTAAAGGCAGTGGAGTTATTTGAAGGTTCTGCCGACGAACCACCAGATGGCGCGATCGACACTGCGACTTGGATCCTAAGAAAACCTCCACAGGGGTTCGAAATGTCGACGAAACAAAAGAACGCATATTTCGAAGGTTGCGGTGGATGGTGCGAGAAGTTAGATTACTGGCAGAACGTTCCGAGAGCCTACCGGGCGCGAAAGGTAATTTGTGAAGGAAAAGCGAACCGAAGGAGGGTGGCGGAGGTGGCGAAGATCGTGACCAGGGGCTGTAAGAGGACCGTCAGCAAGGTTGTGCCTCGTTTACCTCAACATAGCAAACGGAAATCTGCAGTGAAAGATGCAGGAAGGGTAACAAAATCAAGCTGGCATCCGCCGCCGCCGAAATATCAGAAAAGGAAGAAGCTTGTTCTGAACGGCCACAGAGCCGGCTTAATCGAGCGTCATCCCAATATACCTTATGCCATTGCTCCCAACGCTTTTATGTCAATCGCCGCTTCAGTTAGTTTGATTCTGGGAGAGCGCACAGTGCACCCCCTGGATGCTCCGCCAGTTGGAGCATAGCACCAGCTATTTTGGAATTATTTCTCTGCATCTGGTTTCTTCCTGTTGCTACTGACTGCATAGTCCGGACTCGCTCGTTGTCATGCGCCTCTTGGGCTGTCTCCGCTATATTTGACATTTTTATTTCGGGTCTTGGGAAGGGTTTATAATTCCATTCGTTTTTATTCAGGGTAGATAGCTGTCTAATAATTGAAAACATGGCACTTAAAAGGATTCCCTGAACTCCGATTCAATGCGCCCAGATCCCAGAAACAAAAGGATTATTCGTACACAAGCCACATTATCCTCACCTTTGTGAATCGTTCGGCAAGGAGAGGCCATAAGCTGCATGAATGTTGAGACCCGACATAGGTTCGTATAAAGGTGGGAATGAAGCAGAGCTGCAGCTAAAACCCCGGGGGGTTGACTCTCTGGCTCACTCGAGTCCACTTTGGAAGCTCTGTAACGAGAAAAAGACAAAGTCAGAACAGGCATTCAGTAACGCTATTACACCGTCGTGCATCCCAAACTCCTTTTGTCCGAAGCAAAGCCTGATGGAAGAAGCACCCCCAGCTCCGTATTCCAAAAAAAAAAAAAAAAAAAAAGGGGAAAAGAAACGCGTAGCGAGAGTACATACTATGTATTCCCTTTCTGTACGTCTTCTCCTTCCGATCGAAGATCGTATATTTATCCTTCGGCAACATCTCCTCTTCTCTCGGCATTTCTCTATACCATCGTTCAACCGCCTTGGCGCTCTTTCCGCCGTTGCGCTGGAGAGCTGCATTCACGGTGTCAACGACTTTGTCTACTGCTCGTAAGCGCTTGCGCTGCCGGGCTTTTTGCATGGATGAGAGGCGCCAGGGGATTTTCCTAGGGGAAAAAACCTGGTTAGATGTGGTTGCTTTTGCGATTGTGAGGATGGCGGGGAGGCTCGGAAGGGATTGGAGTACCATAGCAGACCTCCCATTACGGGAGAAGTGGGCTTGAACATCTTTGCGAAAGAAAAGAACACTGCGGGTTAGGACGATTGTGATCACGGTCGCTGACGGGTTGGTGCTGGAGCGGTGATGCGAGTTGCGAGATGATTTTCAAGGTGGTCCGTGCACGACGGTTTCCCTTTTTTTTTCGGAGCGAAAACTGTCATCAAACGCGGGTAGTATATTTAAACATTTGGATTCACTCCCGCCGGACAATCCGTTCTCTCATTGCATTGCAAGCGCGTTTGCTGCTTTTACAGCTGCTCAGGCTGATTTTGTGTTCTCTTAATATTTGCGACCAATGGAAAGTCGGTAATATTCTGACCTGTGCGCTTCATCGATGCATCTCAGCCATGGGACGTTGGAACAGCCTTCCTCCTTCTGGAGGTTCTGCTCTTCCTTGACCATGTTCCAAGTCGCAGCATTGTGCCGTGGCTTTCTTTACACCTTTAACACGACAGAGGTGCATGGACAAGAAGCGTTTCTGAAACTCCTGGATGAACGGAGGGACCATACGAGCAGAACGAGGGGTTTAATAACTGGTAGGCTTTGCGCTCTAGTATTCAAATGATGATTCCATTCCGACAATATATTATAATGAATGACCTGGTCACTAAGATATATCTTTCTTTTGAGATAGTTTCGAATCATATTAGCGTGTACGTAGATGAATAACCGCGTCTTGGAAGCACTCGACGAAGTATATGAACTGAATGAACTATGGCTGCAACATAGTATGGATGACCCTTTGATGTGGGGAACTATCCCACTGCATAATCACTGGGGATATCAGTCGTTCAATCGCAGATGGGCGTTTGGAAGCCACGATATCTGTTTCAGTAATAGGTGGGCAGATTTCCAATTGAGTAGCCAATATGAAGACCCTTTTCGCCTGATGTGGAGTTTGGTATATCATTAGGGTCCTTTCTGCCTTTTTCACGCTTGGTCAAGTCCTTCCGACGCATAGGCTCTACCATTCCCCCTACGGTGGCCTCTTCCAGCCTACCGTCACCCAAGCGATCCGATTGCTCTCAAAGGGTCCGTTCCCTACAAATCCCCACACCGCGCCCGCTGATCTGCAACAATGGAGCCTGCAGAGTGTCTGCGTCGACCCGTTCTCTGAGGTGCCCATGGCATATACTACCACAAGCCATGATTCATACTTAGCACCGTCAGCATACGCATGCAACTCATATTCATGGATTCATATCTTCCCAGAGGGCATGATTCATCAGTCCCCGCCCAAAACCATGCGGTATTTCAAATGGGGCGTATCGCGGTTGATCCTCGAAGCGTCACAATGCCCTGACGTCGTTCCTATGTGGATAGAAGGAACGGATGAAGTTATGCATGAGAGTAGGACGTTTCCGCGGTTCCTCCCGAGAATAAACAAGAAGATCAGTGTCACTTTTGGAGAAAAAGTTGACGTTGAGGCTGTTTTTGGCGACTTAAGACGACGCTGGCAGAAGATAAAAGCTGAAGCTGAGAAAGAAAGTGGATCTGCTCCCCTGGGAGTTCTCAATGAAGAGCTCATGTACGGGGAAGAAGCAGTGGAACTGCGGAAAGAATGCACGATGAAAGTTCGAGAACTAGTCCTCCAGGTTCGCCGCTCACGAGGATTACCAGACGAGGATCCCAAAGCCAGTCTTGCCGAGACTTGGGCACAAGAAGGCCCGAAAAGAGAAGGCAAAATGGAGGACGACTCTTGGGTTCGAGATATTTGATCGTATGTATTTGTATCTATCCTGTATGATCTGCTGATAGACGTGTATACCACTAGAAAAAAAAAATGCTTGATATTGCGATTGTTATTGCGAGCTGGCTGCGGGCCCATTGATCCTGATCCGGTTGTGGCAAGGCTCGACGTGCGGTGCGAATTACTAACTTACATTTGTCGGTATTGCCTTGCTTCCAGGTGTTGCCGTTCGTTCTCATATCGTTGTCCTCAGGTGGACACCCGCTTTAATCGTTTTAGGGATGGAGGATAAGCAATCATCATTTTGGCAGCAATCCACGGAGACGAAGATTAGGTTTTGCTTTGCTTCTTCGGCAGCGGAGCTCTATTAATAATGACGATTTGAATCTCGTCAGCTATCTCCATTTCTAAGCTGGACTTGCAACTGGCTGTTCAAGCTCCTCCTCTCCACAATCCGCCGTGGATAGCCGAGCCGCTCAACATCTCTACGGGCTCCAACCTCAGACGCCGATGAAAACCCTCTCCGCTCCCCAGGATTTTACACGGGAGTCCCACAGGGCGTTGGCATGAGTTGGCAACTTCACGATGTGAAATTCCGGGGAAATGTTGGGAAGTATGGCCTGTTTTAACCTTCTTACCAATTGAGAAAACGAAGGACTGGAACAACAGACCGGAGGAGAGACAAAACGTACGTTGTCTACCGGCATCAACCAGTGCCCATTAACTTTCGAGCCGGATCCACTCGAACATGATCCTCCCTCATGCCCAACTGCCAGCCCTTATTAATAATTGAGGGGTTGTATTGAAAGCGCGCCCTTTCGTATCTGGCCGTTATAGAGCAGTAAGTAGTAGCAGGTAAAAGTAGAATTGCTCACAAAAGAGTACGATGACACTCCTTTCAAAAAGCAATAAGCTTTTGAGAAGCTTGGGATTGCTTAGAGGCGGAGTTTAACAATTGGCGGTTTAAACGAAGTGGACCTCGGTTTCAAACCTCAACCTTTCCACAGATTGGAGGCGATCGTAGGAATGCCTAATCTCTCTGGTTCCCCTACCAACCCATTAGTATGCGGGAAATTAACACGACCTCAATTCTACATATCACATGGAAGGACCGGGCATCAGAGGGGTGAGTGAAGTGCCAAGTGTTTACGGAGTAGTGAAGAAATTCTGCAGGATGCTCAAAAAAAATTCCAGGGGGTGGGTGTGAGGTGCGTCAGTGGCGTGGATGGCTAGGCGAGGATTGGTGGGGATCGATCTGCAAAGCAAGCATCCAAGTTTTGCCCGAAGCCGCGATGCATTCCCAGAGGATACCGACTCGCTTTTGATGGTACGAGTATCGGCTTCCGCCTCCAATTCAACTTCGACAACCCTATATGTATGTACGGAAGGCCATCCGTCCACCACAGTGAAGCACCGATCTCTCAAGCGCCACAGAATTTCGTTCGAGCACGAGAACCTCTGTAATGCAGCTCGATCGTGATGGCTGCTAGCTATGGGATCCCGGGAGGCCGCACACGCACTACTTGCCGCCGCTTGGGCAATGTCGCCGCGCCGAGCCCTCGCCCGTGGATCTGCAACCTCCCGCTAACGCCCGAAACGGGAAAGGCGGTGGAAAAATGGAAGACGCCTGGAATCACTTTATTCTCCGAGGTGTTGGCTTGGCATCCGGCCGTGGGTATGTTTCCTTACGCCCCCGATGTCCCGGAATGACGAGTTTGCGCAGTTTCGTGGGCGTAGTCTAGAGGGGTGGCCAAACGGCCTTTGATCCTCTAGCCCAGTGCACAGCCTGTTCACTTCCGCCCTCAAGAGAGCCGGAGAGTCTCGCATGTGGCCATTCATGTATCCACCCGCTCGAATGGATCTCCAGAACCCTCAGAGGATGATATGTGCCACTGGCAATCGCCGGGCCCTTATCAGAGGCCGCTCTCATTCGACGATGCCGCTTTTTTCCCCAAAACCCCGGAGATAAAAAAGCCTTTTATGATAACCATATCAGGTGGACTCGTGAAAACCCTCTCATCAGCCGCTCACCCAAATAATCCTCTCGGGTCAGTCCATTCCCCACAACCCGGGGTCTCTCGCCTCCAGAATTTTATTTCGTTCAAAACCATAAGCATCGCCTCCCTTTCCTTCTCTGGAAATCTCAGCATAATATCACACTTATAACATTCGTCCACTCTTCTGCCCTTGCATTCTCAACTGACTGCCATACCTTTCTCTCATCTGCGTTCAGCCATATATACCCCTTTGCCGAGATTCTTCCTTCCGATTTGTCTGAAAATTTTTTTTTTTTTTTTTTTTTTTTTTTTTCATTTTTAACAATCCATCGCTCGGCACCCGGTGTCTGACCGTTCGTCACCATGGGCTTCTCTGAAAAAGAGATCTCCCAGGAGGACAGCACCTCTGTGCAGCTGCCACCTTTTGCTTCTAAAGATGAAGAAGTCGCCTTGGAGGTAGAGGTCGCCCAAGACCAGCCAGGATTCTGGACTCGGATGGGCTGCACCCCGGAATCCTTCAAGAAACGAACTCTCGCAGACAAACATAACCAGTTGAACCAGACGTTGAAATCCCGTCACCTGCATATGATAGCAATTGGCGGAAGTATCGGCGCAGGTTTTTTCGTTGGTTCAGGCTCAGCATTAGCAAAAGGTGGTCCAGCAAGCGTTGTGATCGACTTTGCAATTATTGGTGTCGTAAGTGACGCGAGATTATCCTCTGTGTTGACATCGGTTAATATTTCTTTCCGCAGATGATATTTAATGTCGTATTTGCCCTTGGAGAATTAGCCGTCATGTACCCAGTGTCTGGAGGGTTCTATATATACTCAAGCCGATTCATCGATCCATCATGGGGCTTTGCCATGGGCTGGAACTATGTTCTCCAGTGGCTCATTGTCCTTCCCCTTGAGCTCACAGTGGCTTCACTGACTATAAACTTCTGGAAAGTTGATCTCAGTGTTGCTGTATGGATAACAGTCTTCCTGGCGGCCATCATAATAGTCAACATCTTCGGAGTTCTTGGATTCGGAGAGGAAGAGTTCTGGTCTAGTGCACTGAAGCTCAGTGCAGTTGTCATATTTATGGTGATAGCAGTGGTTCTCGTTTGCGGAGGAGGTCCAAAGGATGGAATTTATTCTGAATACTGGGGGGCAAGGTTGTGGTATGACCCCGGGGCATTCCGCAATGGCTTCAGGGGTAAGTAACCAAATCTGGCAGCGGCAACACACCGTGAAACAAACTTCATGAACTATAGGATATATCCCATGCTAACCTGTTGGTGGCCAGGTTTTTGCTCTGTGTTCGTCACTGCAGCCTTCGCATTTTTTGGCACTGAGCTAGTTGGACTAGCAGCAGCCGAGAGCAAGAATCCCCTAAAATCGCTTCCATCGGCAATCAAACAAGTATTCTGGCGCATTATCTTGTTTTATATCCTCGGTCTTTTCTTCATTGGTCTTCTCGTCCGCTCCGACGATGACCGCTTGCTTGGTGCAAACCCTCTGATCGACACCAATGCCTCGCCGTTCGTGATTGCTGCCCACGACGCTGGTCTCGTCGGCTTTGACAGCTTCATGAATGTTATCATCCTTGTTTCAGTTTTTTCAATTGGAAACTCGGCCGTCTTTGCAGGATCTAGGACCCTAACAGCCATTGCTGAACAAGGATACGCACCCCGTATCTTTTCCTATGTTGACCGAGCTGGTAGGCCACTTATCTCAACAGGCACACTCATTGCATTTGGTGGTCTGGCATATGTGAATGTCACTGCAAGTGGTGTTGAAATCTTTGACTGGCTCCTTGCGCTGTCTGGCTTAACTGCGCTCTTCACCTGGGGAAGCGTAAGTTGAATCCCTACCCCCCTCCATTTCCCTAAAATAAAAGGAGAAAGAAGGAGGAACCCAATCCTCTGGTTGCGCAGGAATTCAATATTAACTCCGATGATATCCAGATTTGTCTCGCTCACATTCGGTTCCGCGCTGCCTGGGCACATCACGGTCGCACTCTTGATGAGATCCCCTTTAAGGCTGCCCTCGGTGTCTGGGGTTCCTGGGTTGGGCTATGCTTAGTTTGCCTAGTCCTTATCGCTCAAGTAAGTGTGACTTCCGGTGGTTCGACAAACGTGTCCAATCTAACCTGTGTTGCGTAGTTCTATATCGCTATCTGTCCAGTTTCAGGTGGCATTAATGACGCAAAGGGCTTTTTCAAGTCATACCTTGCTCTTCCCGTCGTCCTATTCTGCTGGGCTTGCGGCTATGCTTGGAAGCGCAAGGGATGGCTGAAACTCGACGAAATCGATATCGACTCAGGGAGAAGAGAGATTGACTGGGAGGTTTACAATCAGGTGTTGGAGAAGAGAAAGAACTCTTCGTTCATGAAGCGCCTTTACTACAGGCTCTTTTAAGCATAGCGACGTCCATTTTGTTGAAATAAACGAAGACAATTCAGCACACTTGCAGCGTGTTAGCAGTTGAGTACCAATATGCACAGGGTTCAATCAATGGCGCCTGGGATGTCGAAACCTTACCTAGAATTATCAGCTATAGCTCGAAATTTTGATAGATCTGGTCCTTTCTTTGAAGTCGTCTTCAAGGTCGTCTCGTTAATATATGGATGTTTTAGTCCGTACCCTGCGGAGTATATTCTACCGATTGGCTCCCAGTCAGATCTGGCTCGATAGGGGCACCGCATTTTGTGTAAGGGACACCAGGATTAACATGGTTATATGGAGTACTATTACATACAATCTTACAAGGGGTGTAAAAGACAATTGTGACGCTGCACCTGGGTGCTTTGTTTTCCTCATCTCAAACCACCTCTAGACTCCAATCCCTGAATACCTTCTATGTCACAATGAAGAAGGAATCAAACTTGCAATCATGAGCACTGTACACACTGGTGGTGAAGGGATGCTTGTGATGCTATCAACTTACCTAGTTCATACATCACCTGTAAGTCCATGTAACATTATGACCAATGCCACCCTTATTTCGTTATAGGGGTGGTGTCCCGAGACAAAATGCCGTGCCCCCGAGGCTCTTTGCCGATTTCGGGCTTGGCAATTTCCACGCTCTCCACCGAGTCCCAGTGGTTCTTGCGCCCTTTTATCTACATACTGCATATCAGGGCATGGCAAGGAAAGTCACATAGCAAAGTTCTCCATCAGAATCTATAGGAAGATCACCTTAACTCAACAAGGAGGCAGAGTAGACTCTAGCTCATAGAGTAGCGAGTCAAGAGTAAGAACTTCACTTTGCACGCTGGCGTCCTTGATGACAGACCAAAAGCCCAACTTTGAATATCTTCAGCTGAGGGGGCCTGGCTGGCACCTCGGAGGTGTCGAAGTCGCTTGCGGAGTGGACACTGAGGGCGCTCAAGAATGATCATACCGCCATGTGTTGACAGAAACTTTATGATCTCTGGATGAGGGCCTAATCACTCGTATAACACACAGTCTTAAGTTGATTGCGGTTCTCATCAGTGAGAAGCGGGATCCTATTTGGACACCAGGACGGAGACACCACTAGAGAAGATCAGCCACATTGCCATATATAAGCTGACTGTTGCAATTCCATTGAATTTGTCATGGATTTACTTTGTCTTTATGTCCCAACGAACCGTGAAGTTGCTTTAATCGAGAACAAGATTTAGGTTGCGGAAAGTTGTCGCCTCAACTTTCACCTGGTTCTTTGTCAGCAGCGTTCAGCTCAGAGTCGGCGGGCTGGAAGTGTTTGTCCCACTGATGGCTGTCTCATTCTTCTCTGACGAACCATCTTGATGAGATCTCCAGTTCTCGATGCCCAAAAAGCATCGCAAGTTTAAGCTAATCAAGCCAGAAGCGTCCGTCCACCATTCTTTAGCATCTTCCTCTTCTCGACGTCGAAACGACCCCTCACGCTCCGAGCAGCTCTCCGTCAACGACCTTATCCAGCACCTACGGCGGACGCAACTTTCGACGGTCGAGCCCCAGAATGTCGTGGGTGCAACAGAAGTCGTCGCAAAATCCGTACACCCATCGATAAGAAATATTTTAGATTTACCCGCTCCGCCGCCCCCTCGTCCACGTTCCGGACTAAGACCGCAGATAGGCACCCGGAGACTACGACGAACTCCTGGGCCTGCAGCGCCTTTGAGCTGGCTGTCACAAAACCACGAACGGCCTGTAAACGATGAGAGCAGAAGTGCCGGTTACCATGGCGAGGTTCAACGACACCTTGACCGGCTACCAGGACTAAATTTCCCTCCAGAGCGATCCCTACAGCATACCATTCTAAAGACCATGGCATCCAATTGGGATTGGCATCTCGTTTACGATGGAATTTTCCTCTCCGAATTACCAACGCAAGTTAGGCAATTGCTGCTTAGTTACATCGCTGTCTATACCGACCACGCGACCATGGGTGCCGGTATGCAGGGCTTAAAACCGCTCTTTTTGGACAAGACTCCGGATGGTGAAGTAGAGTCACATCCAGATGTCATCCGACTTGATCTGTCTGGTGCACTTGGGCACTGGATTACCTTGAAGTTACTGGTGCGTGAGCTGAAATATGAACTCCCTGAATTGAAAAGGGAAGATGCGTATGTCCCCGCTTCGTGGGAAGAGGAAGCATCAGATGAAGCCAGTTCTAGTCGAACCGGTCTCACTACTCGCCAACCTTTCCTTCCGCGATTTGAAAAACTCAAATATCTATCGCTTGCACAGCCAGCACCGGCGGCAGCAAATTGGGGTTCCCTTCTCCATCTACTTTCTCAACTAGCAACTCTAACGCATCTATCACTCGCACACTGGCCAGTTCCTACCCTATCCATCAGTACAGTAGTGAAACACGGCCCGTCCACGACTTTTGAGCAGCGCTTGTCACCGTCCGATGATGATATGTCTGAAGCAGCAACGGTGCTCGGAAAGCTTTCTCGGGCAACTTATTGTCTGCAGTGGCTGGATCTTGAAGGCTGCACTGAGTGGCTTCCTTCTCTTTGTTGGAGCAGAGAGAATCAACATGCTTCCCTGGGTCAGCCTCTGGGCCCTGAATGGAATGGATCGTGGCGTGGGATAGCATGGTTGGGCTTAGGCTTTGGATGGGCGAAAGAGGTGCCAGGACCCGAGGATGACCTTATTAGCAACGAGAATATGCAGCAAGAAGAGCATTCGCTTGGCCATGGGGAAGCTGGGACTCGACGGGTTACTCTCCGCCCTGGTCAAGATTTACTTGCGATAGACAACGCACATGGCCATGGACAGGCAATTCAGAAAGGATCCCGTCTCCGTTGGCAAGAGAAAATGTGGCATCTACATGTCGCCAAGGCGAAAAATATCGGGAGGTCGATTCAAAATCTCAGGTCTGAAGATAAGGGGAAGTGGATTGAGGTCTCCGTTGGAGATGCAAAACCATTCTCTACTTAATAACTAGCACGTATCGACACAGAAATCATGCTATGTGACGATGACTTCGAAAACTATGATTACTCCTAGATGCATAGTAACTATATGAATTCTTGTGATAAAATTTGGGTATTCTTCAATAGGAGTGGCACTTTGGGTAGACGCCATTTAAACAATCGAGACCATTATTTACTTTTAAACGTTTTCAAAGGATCGGCTTTTCTTCCGCCTCCACGACCACCTTTCCTACCGCCTTTCCCTCTCATTCGGTTCCTATCCCTGGCCTTCCTTATCCGATTCTCATTTGTTTTCCTCAATCCTACAAACCCAATATCCCCACTAGTTAGACCAGCTTTCCCCTTTGCGGGCATTAGATACTCTGGCACATGCTTCAAATGTGCCTGGACGCGCGTTGGTCGTAGCTCGCCATCGTGTCGAAGCTGCCGCAGTTCTTCTGGGTTCTCTTCAAAATGTCGCTTCAGCTTCTCGCTGTTCAGGAGCTCCTGCTTGATTTCTTTGGTCCGGGCTTCTTGGACAGCCACCCGTGTGACGGCACGGAGGGCATCAGTCATTCTGTACCGGAAGGCATCGATCTGCTTTGTGTCGAAATTGTATGGCTTTACTTCTCGTCCAAGCTTGGCCTGGCGCTTGATGATTTTCGCGAGAACTGCCTCATCGTTTTTGGTAGTTGGAAAACTTGTAGGCTTATGTCTGCCGTACAGTTCTGAAGGCACAATGAGGGATAGAGCCATGCCGGTTTTGCCAGCTCGCCCAGTCCGCCCGATACGGTGGGTGTACGATTTGGCAGTCGTGGGAAGATCAAAGTTGAGGACACAGGCGACATCTTGGAAATCAATTCCTCGGGAGATGCCGTAGTCCTTTTCTTTGGTAGACTTTTTGCGTTTCTTACTAGGCGGCGGTTCGACTTCGTCCTCGTCGCTGAAGCCTTTCTCCTCCTCTGGCTCGTCTCCGTTTTCACCATTTGACTGCTCGGGCGTCTTAGATCCTTTCTTTGGTATCTCTCCTATAACTTCCTGGTCATCGGCAGCAATGATGATATCATATACACCTTTATTGAATTCTTGGACGACGTGAATCCTGGAATTGACCGGTAGTTCCGAGTTGAGAACGCAGCTCTTTATACCAAACTGTTCCAAGAATAGTTTGAGACGATAGGATCGATCTATATCTCCAACAAATATGATACATTTTCCCTTGACAAGCTGTAATTTGAATATAACATAAGTTAGAAGAAACTTTTCGTCTTCCGCGCATCTAAAGAAATGGTTAGCCAATACGATCAGTAGGACTGCTCCGGGGCGGGCAAACTTATGGCATACTTGACTGCGAATTGCGCGATTCCGGCTCCTTCATCCTCCGCTTCCTCTAGCTTCAAGATAACTGGGCTTCTACAAAACAAGCCTTTCAAAGCATCAACCTCGGACGTGAGCGTCGCGCTCATCAACAGCGTTTGGACACCACGGGGAATGGCTTTTGCCAAATTTTGCATATCTTGTTCGTACCCATAGGAAAGGACAAGATCGGCTTCATCAATTACCAAGTGCGTTAAATCGTTAAGCGACAACGAGGAGCTGTTGGTATTTATGATCGCCCTTGCAGGAGTAGAAATGATAATATCAGGGAGGTCAGCGAGGATTGCTCGTTGAACGGCGTCTGAAACTTTCTGCGTGAGATTTGCGGACCGTATGTCTTTTCCGCAGAAGGAAGAAAACGAGACCACGGCGTTTTGAACCTGTTCAGCAAGCTCTCGAGTAGGCACGAGTATCAGGGCTGAGATCGACTTCTGGGTGGGATTGGCCTGGATACGCCTGTCAGCAAAGCTGCGTAATTTCCAAGAAAGCTAGGAAATGCGTACAATCTTCTTTTGCAAAATTGACTGCAAAATCGGAAGGAGATACGCCGCGGTTTTGCCCGACCCTGTTTTTGCACGAGCTTCAAAGAGTTAGCGGTGATAGATCGAAGCGACAGCTTTCGGTGTCTACTTACCCAGCACATCCTTCCCGCTTAAGACCAGTGGAATTGCCTCTGCCTGAACTAATGTTGGTTTCGTAAATTTCTGCTTTGTTAAAGCTTGGAGCAACCTGGGATCTAAGTGGAGGGTCTCGAAGGTCTTTTCTAGAGCCTTTGGCCCGGAGTTTTCAGGAGTCGGCACATTGTTCTCGTCCAGCTTCCTCTTCATGATTAATGGAGGTGGCTTGGAATTCACCGATATGTTGGAAAACCTAACGGCAGCCCTAGACTCTCGCAACTGATGAACGGTGCAACGAGCCCGCCAATTTCATGCTTCGACTTTTTTAGGATAGTGCCAAGACCTCCGGTCCGTCATAAATCCGGTACCGTAGCGGAACTGTTAGGTAATCCAACTAGCACCTCGCTCACATGACCCACATAGATTAGCCGAGATTCCCCTTTAGGTAGCTTAGTGAATGACAAGCATACAAGTCCTCCATCAGGTTATAGCCCTTTGCACTGAAGAGCAAGTGTATAAAATTGATTTACAGCTCAATTAGATATTGAAGCTTATGATCAATACTCTGAATGATTATTCTTGTGAATAACAAGGTTTTACAAGCACAAGAGAGAGTGTATGTTGAATAGACATCTTCTATATATGCAATCTCTGTAGCTTTCTAGTACTGAGCTGGAGAGCAAGTTAAATTCTGTAGCTTTCTGGCATCTGATCAGAGAGTGAGTGAAACATCTGCTAAATACATCTAGCAAGCAAATTGAGCACCTGGCAATACTAAAGCCATAGTAAACTGTGTGAATGAACTGAAGCACCAAACTCTCAACCAGAAGACTTTAATAAACTCTTCTACATCTCAAACTAAGCTTAGATAGTTGAGTAGGCTCAGAGGCAATCCACCAAACAACAAGCAGGAGTCTAGGGAGAAGAGTGAACTTTAAATATTGTGCAGAATGATGCTGCAGCAACAGAAGATAGTGCAACAGCTGATATAGTAAATAAGTCTCTTGTCAGGTCAAGCAAGTACTGCAAATACATCTACATTAATGCAGGAGAATCTGGAGCAAGAAGCTTAACAAGAAAACAACTGAGAAATAGACTTTGAGAACAAACTAGAAGAATATGTCAGTAATCTTATAGATATAAATATGTGAACCAGCAGAGCAATCACCCAATTTATGAAGATCTTGAAGATAATAAAAAAGTCTATAATCTTGACTAAGGTCAGTAACTACTTAGCATAAAGCAAAGTTATTCTAAAGACAGCTCATCAAGTAGATGTTGAGAAGATTATTCTGAAAAGACAAGAGATCTCACTACAGTCAGAGAACTTGAAGATATCATAATACTGAAATGTTCAGAATAAATGGCTGTTATAGTGGGGATTCTGGTACCTTATTAGGACAAAGGTTGTTCCAGTCCAAGGCACAAACCACCCCAAAGCTACTATTCTTGAGCTATATAAACCACCTGTAGCCCTGCATCTTGCTTATTATCTCAATGCACTATTGCTCTTTTCTATACACTCATTCCTTACTACCAGTTTGGTTATTAGTTAGAGAATATAAAGATTTCTTGTTTATGAAACTTGCTACTGTTTCTTATTTGAGCTGTCTGTATTAGTACAGGGATCTTTAGTATTATTACTTCTTGTGAGCTTAGATATCTGTTAGAACATATCTATCTCTACACTTACTACTTGACCATACTCTTACTATATTGTGATTTTTCACCTTTCTTGTGCTCTCACCATATCAACCAACTTGCCTATCTTGATAAGGTATCTTATTGTACCCTGCTCCATTTGGTGACCAAGCTGAGATCTGAAGATGATGATGTGGTGATTTGGTGACTGCCAAGAAAGAAAAACAAATTCTGAGACACATGAAGCAATACACTATTTCAAGATAAGATTTTATGGACTAGGAACACAGTACTAATCAGGTTTTTTATTTAAAAATAAGATTAGGGAGCTTAGATTTGAATATCTCTTATCTAGAGCTTGCCTGATAAACAGGTTTTTGGAAGATATTGACTAATAGACAGAACATACTGTGTGACATGACCAAAGATCAAGAAATCAAGAAATTGGAATCAGAATCAACTATAACTGAAGGTACTACAGAATTATATACAACTATATTACAAGATGAGAACAAGAGAATTATAGTTCATTTTCACATTTCTATATCTTCCTCTGGCACAGCAAATGCACCTTGATTTGATGGCAGAGATGCTACTTTGTTTATTGAAAGATTTTATCAGATGTGCAAGAATCATAAGATAATTGACTCTAAAAACATTATTGAATAGTTGGCCAGATACTGTGTTATATGGATTGAAGAATGAATAAAGATCTTGAAAGACTACAAAAAAGATAATTGAGAAGTATTCTCCAAAAAGATTATTCATGAATTTTATAATCAAGACATTACTTACAAGATTCACTGTTGGAATTATCTCTAAGCAATTACAAAGAAACCACATGCTTGAAATGGTAACATTCACATTTATGTTTGAGAATACACTACTATCATCAGTAGAGTACAAGCCAATGAAAGACTTGATAAATTCACTAAGATGTCTTGATTTCTTCAGAAGCTATCTGAAAAACTCTGAAATAAGATTATTGACAAGACTAAGCTTAATCTTTCAGATAATATGTTGCTTATTGATTTTAGAAAAGTTGTTCAGGTGATTATAGATTTGATCAATCAGTATAAAGAGAATAAGAAGGTCTTTGAAGAAGATAAAATGAAACAAAAGAAAATGAAGAAGCTTGATGAGCAATATTAATTAGCTAACAAACTCTCTACAGTTGAAGCTTTAAAGAAAACAGCTAGTTTTATAAAGACTGAAGAATCTGAATTGAAATTCAAAGCCAAGAGCTCTGAGAGTGCCAATATTGAAGCTGCTATTGAAAAGATGACCAACAAGTTCACAAATTTGGTATTGGCCATGAGAGTACAATCAAATCAGATATAAGGAAATTCTGATCAGTATTATATGCTGCAGAGAGAAGAATCTCCAAAACCTGTACCAAATTATCCAATAAATGTAACTGTTAATTCTACAACTGTACAAGAGAATACTCAACCACCAGTCAATCTCTATTTAGCTTGAAATGGCTCTTCTATAACAGACTATAGTGATGCTTGTGGACAAGAAGGAGCTCAAACTAGAGAAATTTTGATATATCTCTCATACTTCTACTGTGGAAAACCTGGACATTGTCAATCTCAGTGTTATGAATACCAATCTGATATAAGTAATGGATACTGCCATATTGATGACAAAGAGAACTTACACATGAGCTCTAAGAGTCAAAACTATCAAGTTGTCACTTCTAAATCTGAAATCCTGAACATGTATATTGTATAGTCTATAGAAGAGAATGAATGGGTGATTCCAGAGTTAACAAGCTCTAAAAAGAAGACTAATCAGTAAGAAGAGATACCTTCTGCAAATTCAACTAATATGAAGGTCCAAGCAGAATGACTTGCATATCTAATATCTGATGGAGAATCTGATTCAGATAAGAAATATAAATCATTAGAAGAAAGAACATCAGTTAATGTCAGAACAGTTGGAGAAGCTAAGAATAATCAAAAAGCTAAGATTGCAATACTTCATACTTAGTGTACTGGACAATTTATTACTTACTGGAATAATCAGACTAGTGTTGATAACAATATCATGAAAGATGTTAAATCTATCAATCAGAAGAAGTCTGAAATTCAGAACAAGTCTGTAGAGAAATAAAGATAAAGATATTCTGCAATAGATTGTTTATTCTCTCAGATCTGTGATTCAACAGATGACAATAAATTAATAAGTTGAATTCTCAATGAAAAAGTCAAATTGTCAGTATAGACATATCACCAAAGCTTCATTAAGCATTCTTTGAATCAGACTGGAATAACAGTACTAGCAAAAGCCATGCAAAGATTGGAGTCTCTGAACCAGTTCAGCCTGAGCTAAAAATTAATTCTGGTTGACTTATATCAAAGCCCATGGTGCCAAAATCCAAAACAGTATATGGAATGTGTTTGTTATATGCACCAGTCACTATAAATCAACAAGAATTAATGGTGTTGATTGATACTGATTCAGAAATCAATTTGTTGTCTTGGAAGTATACTGAAATATTGAATCTGTCAATGGAAAATAAGCTGTAAGTGATCATGGTTGTTCAAACAGAAGAAGTTGCTTCTTTTTATATGTTTTATAATGAAGTGCCTGTTTAAATTAAAGATATTGTTATACATACCTCTTTTCTTATATTTAAGAGAGGGGATCAGCAACTTATTCTTGAAAGACCTTGGCAATTTACTGTCTGTTGAGAGTGCAACACCTCAGAAGATGGTGGAGTGAACTATAAAATTTATAATAAGAAATGAACATGTCATCTAGTTTTTGAAGACTTTAAGCTAAACTTAAGCAACATGAGATATGTAACTGATAAATTGAACAGTAATTATTTAAACAATTCAACAGGCATTTAATCAGACATATGCCTGTGAATACAAGATCTAAGAAGAATGAAGAAAATATGATGAAGATAATAAATATAAGAATTAATAATAAGAAGGTTGAAGGTCAGGAGATTGAAAAGAATAGAGAAGTCAGAAGTATTGGCAGCATTACTAGTGTTGGTGATTACAGTGATGAGAAGAAATATAATTCTGGTATTAGTAAATCTAAAAGTGTGTTAAGTCTAATCAGATTAACCAGTGTGCTGGTGAATCAAATGAACCAATCAGAAGACAAGAATAATTTTGCATCAGGAGTTCAGATTTTCTGATCTTCACTTTCTGATCCAGACAGCATCATGACTCACTGCAAACATTATACACACAATATTAATTCCAGCTTAATTCAAAAACCTATTTCATGAAGTGCTTAATTAATTTATGCATCTCTGAACAAAAATCATGATTTTGTCATAAAAAAATTATGTCAGATAGATATTTTCAATAGTGAATGGGATATTGAATTATCTTCTTCAGAGGTCTGAAGAGTGTGCACTGCTTATAAGTGGAAAGCTGATAAGATAAGATCATTAGTATCTGGAAAATCTGATGGAAGCAAGCTGGAAGATCTAGATAATTAAGTAAATGTTTGTTTGAATAAGTATTACTCTGAGAAGAAATGTATTACATTTAATTGTGAATTTGATGATTATATTAGGCCTTTTTTGAGCTAAACAGCTA